ACCTAGAGAGCGTGGGTGTTATCGCCTGTCAGTGGAACAGATTCTACAGACTAAAATTTCAATGGAAACTGGGGTATTGTGAAACCCATGCATTACCAAATTTAGGCATGTTTCTTCGTTCTGCTTTGATGCAAACATGGCTTGGTAAAAGAAGAGTATACAAAAAGAATCCGACATTGCTAACAGAACTGAAAAGTGATTCTAATAACTAGTCTCCTTTTAACGTCACTTTATATTTAAAAAAAAAAGAAGGAGATGAACGAATGGTCGCGTACTAGTCAACGCGACGCGACGCTACCCACCCTTTCGGCATAATAGAGCCGTTTTAACTTATGCTGTATATCAGGGCCCCGTCTTATAAAGATTTGCGATTGTTTCGGATCAATCGCAAGTCCTCTTATCAATCGCAAGTTTGCCCTATCTTTTATGTAGATAGTTGCAATTTATATCACTTGCAATTAAGTTGCGATTAATCACAAATGTTCATAAGAGGTAGCAGAGGTTAGGCCTTATTTCGTCACCTCCAATTTTAATAAGTATTTTGTTTCGTTATGTTTAATAATATTTGGCTACTGTTGTAATTGTATTATGTATTACACGGCTCTCTTGTATACAAGTAGTTGTATGTACTTAAGAGACTCTTTTGTATATGGAACACAGAATAAATTAACGAATGAACGAATAAATAGATATATTTCTACATTTCTAGCAACAGTATTCAATGTCAATACTCCACTCTAACTTGTTTGACTTTTACTGAACCTTTCGTACCTAAACAAGAACTTCAACTGAAAAATGAAAATTACAAGTCAACTCGACTCCCCCGGAAGCTGGGAATTCAGGTATCATGCATCATCATGGAACGATGGGCTTAAACGTTAATGCAAATCATGCCAATTTCTCAACGTTGCCCAAAAGCTCAAATTGTTCTTTAACGACAAGAGATCACAAATCGTCATCATCATCAAAAACAAACCTTCAAGAGCAGGTTATAGGTTCATGACATTTCATTTCGACTATCCTAAACCTAAGTCACACTAGGCATACGACTGGTTCCCGACTTCTGACAAACAAAAAAAACGACAACCAATGACAACCAATTTGTAAGAACTTGCAGCGGGTGGTCAGTTGCCGAATGTCATACAAAAAATGTCAGATCGTCAAATGTTTTAGACCACTCATAGAGATATGGGGAATGGTTGGCAATGAAATGTTAAAAAATGATCAAAGATCAATTGCCGATGTTCTTACGACAGTCGGCAAGCTTTATAATGGGGGAGATAAATGATCATTTGCGCAATCATGCATAAGAAGATTACATTTCTTGCTCATTATTAGCACTTGTATTTGTTTAGGTTTAGTGTGACTTCATTCGTATATTTCACTCTATGAGGCTTCTTAACTTTTCTTTTAAAATCAATAACTTAGTTCCATTGGAGCTGATTATAATGATTTGATGATAAACGTGATAACCAAGACACAATAGAGATAGGGAAGCTGGGAAACGGTTAAAAAGGTAATCTAAAAAATTATGGTGAACTTGCGTGCAAATAACAGAGATATTGCAGTTGGCAATAGAAGATGAAGGGAAATAAAAGTTATAGTGAAATAAGGGGAGGAGGGAAAAAAAATGTTTTTTAAAAATTAAAACAGAGTTCATCCATTGTTATCTTTTTACAAGTGGCTACCTTGAACGAGCAAAGAGTAATTATGTGATTGTACTGAAAATTATGGTGAACTTGCGTGCAAATAACAGAGATATTGCAGTTGGCAATAGAAGATGAAGGGAAATAAAAGTTATAGTGAAATAAGGGGAGGAGGGAAAAAAAATGTTTTTTAAAAATTAAAACAGAGTTCATCCATTGTTATCTTTTTACAAGTGGCTACCTTGAACGAGCAAAGAGTAATTATGTGATTGTACTGAATCCGGGCCATAAACTACAATTACAATGATGATGATGATGATGATGATTCTCAGTTTTGATAATGCCCAACATTTATTGTAACCAAATCTCGGAGGTATTTTAAAACCCTACTGCACTAGTTTGGCCAGGAGGGATTATACCTCCCTGCATGGTCACTGACAGGTGGTTATCTCATCAAATCAGCTCTCAATAAACATAAGAAAAAGAGGATAATGGGTAACAATGGTCACCGATTAGGCATTGTTCGCTATATAGAGGGCGCAAGTAGCTATAAGTAGGGCAGTGGGGCTTTAAGTGGATGGACTTTTTTTTTCATATAACAGACAGTAGCAAATTCAAAATGTTTATCAATGATCAAATAATACTTCCGGATTTACATTTGGTCATTTTACTATGCTGCTGCAGCAGTAGAAAAGTTTACATTATGGAAGGAAATTAGATCGAGAAACATTCTCTTTTCTTACTCTCGACCTGTCGATGTCGGGAGTTCTCTATTACGATTGGCTTATATTAGATGGCTATTGCTTGGATCAACAAAGTTAAGAAGTAACGAGTCAATTATGTTATACTCACTGTTTACTTAGATCCTGCAATATGCGAAATAAATCGTGAAATGAGGCCACGAGTCCTCTCCTCAGAAATATTTATCCAGTTGTAGTCGAGCTAAAAGGATTCTAATAACATCTTGCACAGGTGAAATAAAAGTAGCAGGTAACGAGTAGCATGAGAGATCTATCATCTGGAACGTTTCATAAAGAAACAAAATGGCGTTTATAATGTATCTTTCGCAAGATAAGAGAAGAGTTTGTCCCTGTGTCGTGAATCCGATATTGAAACGATGCCGAAAATTGCAGTGTGTGAAATCTAGAAATCAGTCTTTTGCAAATACCATTTGACTGTACAAAATCAGGTCCTTCGTTCCGTCAGATTATGACGGTTAACCCGTATCAAATGAAAAGCATAGGCTGCATGAGTCTGTATTTCACAGTCTGGTGACATGGAGCAGTTACCTGGTGCACGTCAGATGGGGCGTGTGGTCCAAAACGAAACTATATTATACACATAACATGAGCCAAGTTATTCATATCTCTCGCTTAGTGAGTCGGTTCCTGGTGGGCATTGTGATGCAAATCAAACACGTCATAAAGTACTGTTGTCTGTAAAATACGTATTTTTTACAGTTCTGTGATTCCGCCTAGCAAGTGGAAAATCTTAGTCTCTCCCGAGACAGATTTGTTTGTTTCTTTGGGGAGGGGGGGGGGGGGGGGGGGAGGGGCTCCAATATGTGTCAACTGCCATCGCCTCTGAATACTTTTTCCATAATTCAGTAATTGAAATCTGGTTTATTAGCAAATCTGATAATTCCAAATCTTCGGTATGCAAATGTAACCATGTTATTTTCTATTTTGTTAAAGGGAAAACCTGTATTGGTAAAATTGCGGTTCAAAGGTTTTGGGTGCAAAATATCCATTCAATATTGTTGAAATATTGCCTTCAGAGGTTTAGATGGCAATGCTTCAACCTAACCCCCCCCCCCCAAAAAAAAAGCAGAAATATATGCCTAAATGTTCTATGTTGAAGTGCATTCGCGACATCTATCCAGGCCGGATCGTTATGATAATTTACAAAATATATCAATTACTAGAAGGCGGTTTCCCGGCAAAATTTATCACCTATTAGTTGAAACATATATATAAGAACTTCTATTTCATTTTTTAAAAGGGGGCGTTTCCAAAACTGGTTTATACCTTTAAGGGTAGGTCATGCTTTTGTTTCCCAATCAATATTTCATTGTTTTTAATTTGTACTTTCGATTTTCGTTTTATTTTTATTTGTATACACGTGTTAATTCATTGTCATGTAAATCTAACGAAATTTATACTTACCTTAGGAACTACAACTCAACGATAAGTGCCCCACAATGTTTGTGGAAACATTCGTGAAATTCGAATGAAGCAGAATGTCCCCATCCAGGGTAGTTGAGAGTGTGCGTGTAGGGGAACGCATGCCTGTGGTGTGTGTGGGTGTGTATGCGTGCGTGTCTGTGTGGGAACGCGTGTGTGTGCGCGTGTGTTTATATAATGAGATATGTATTTAGACAACTTGAATTGCTCAATCAGTTATCAATCGATTGAGTCAGTTTAAATAAAATTATTTAACTAAAATTAATCAACCGATACCTTACTGCGGTCGAACTAAACACTTTTTAGATTACAATAACTACGTACGTTCGTTGACGCACACCGAATGTTGTGCATCGCACGAAGTGAGCGACGTACCGGAACTTGAATAACAACGAATTCAAAACGATGTCCAAACGAACTTGAGCTAACTTTTCTCGTACGCTGTCTAACGTTGGGACAGTTCGCTGTAATATGAAGTCCCCCCTTAGTTTCATGTCGCACTGAAAGAGTCAACTCAGGAACAGGCCAGCGAGATTCCCAGAGATCATCAAACCGGGGGGAAAATTCCAGACCCTTTCCCGTTTGACAATCATAAACTGGATTTTTCCTTGATTTATATTCTTAACGAAATCAAAACAAACTTGTTGAAAATCAATCACACTTATTTCTCTGCAATAAACAGGTCTACTCATCCTTGTCCATGCTGAGAAGAGTCATATTTCCATACTTTGACATAGCAACCATCACGCCTTTCCCCGTTTTCATTTTTCAACAAAATTTCAATAACGCAACTCGGCCACTATTGAATGATTTGCAGAAATAAACGCTTCTCAACTTTCTCTGAATTTCTGAAAAACATTGAGAAGCGTGGTTATTTTGGAACTAGACTGAAACACAGAACATCCTATCTCTCTCTCTCTCTCCGTTTCTCTATCTCCTCCTCTCTCTCTCTCTCTCCCCTCTCTCTCTCCCTCTCTGTCTCTCTCTTTCGCTCATCTGATTGAGGTACAAACTGTTCCATTTCTCCCATTACCTATCCTGCTCCTCTCTCCAACCCCTCCCCCTCCTGCCCCTTCTTTCTCGGACAGTCCCATATTGCATTGACCTTCCATTGCCGTGCATTGCTTCAAAATGGATGAGTACTTCAATGAATCACACTAAATCAACTTTCTTTAAAGATATTTTATACTTTAAAAGCATTTATTTCAATGTTATAAAACATACTTACAATGTCTCTCATATTTCATATACAATCCAAAATTTAAAAACACATTTGAAATGCGCCAATTTCAACCGAGTATTACCAACATATCCAGCTATAGCCAATGATTTAAAAAACTCCACATTATTAGCAATGAAAACAAGTTGTTTTTTAAAATAAAAAATGGCTTTCAAACCAGAAGCAGTCCAGATCCGAATACGTTATAAGGACATTATGTTTCTTGGAACCAGAAAGGCATTTACTGCATGTTTAAGTATGTATATGAGTTAACACCCTTCTAGCTCAAAAGATTTACTCTTACTATTTACCATAACAAGGATTTAATGCCAATCAGGCTCTCCTCAAATTTTAATGTGCTAAGAAAACTAGCTTTGCAACATTACATACAAAATAAAAGTACAATACAAGTAATAACTTTTGACATCGGGCTCTATTTCGTAAATCTTGTTATCAACTACAAGTTACAATAACTGATAATTATATCACAAGCTACTAAAATCATCAAATCGAGTGCGGTTTTAATTTTAGCTGTATTTGTTTCTAACAAGTTGTATGAATTAGGACCATGGACGATAACGTTAACAGTTTTATTTATTTGAGCAAACTGCAGCAAGCAGGCAAGTTACACGCTTAAAAGAAACAGAAATGTAAATGCTTGGACTACTATTTGAAAAGAGATATGAAATATATACCTACCATTTCAGGCTATAATATGATAGTTCAATGTCACAATGATGAAATTAAAGATGTTTTCATTATTCCTTTATATCGCTAAATAATTTTTCAATGGTTCAGCTTAAGAGTGAAAAATAAATTGTTCTGAAAACCTACTTCTTTAAGGAAGAATTTCACATCCCTCATTCCAGCAATGAACATTTTAGAACAAGCATTCTTCCAAAATATACAAATATGACAAAGGCATGGAAAATAATTATGCAAAGATTTTAAAGAAGGTTAATTACACTGAACAGAAAAAAAAGTATGAGGAAACCACAAACAAATCTCAATACACATTTAAATTGACACGTGGTGTTCTTGATTAATATAGAAATATAAGAAAGATTTAAAAAATTGCAATGTAATAAAAGAATGAGAGAATTAAAAAAAAAAGTATCAAAATTCTTCTGTTACGGAGTCAGGCTAATAACATAATATTATAAAACGGCTTATGTACATGTAGCTTACTTCGGTATTTGAAGCATCACTTTAAAACAAGGATAACAAAACTAACGTGAAAATATCTTCTTTTTTTTAAAAAGCAAATAAAACAACGGAAAGAGAGAAATTACAAATCTATCATACATGTAGGGGATGTTGACTGCATGTAATGTCTATGCATAATGGAACTTTACAACTCTTAAAAATCAAAGATGAAACGAGCGTCAAAATACACCTTAACTCATCTAACTTCTTTTCACATCCCATTGACACCACGAAAGAACTTCATCAACATCCACCACTTGGTATTTAGCGTGGTTGTTCTTATATGGTGCATATCACATTACAACGTCCCCTCTGCTCCTCGAAAGAGCTTTGGAACTTATTACCCTAGCTTTAGCTCTAGCAGCCCTTATCAGTACACAGTGAATTTTCTAGGTACAATCCTACCAGGTACCCATTTACCTCACCTGGATGGAGTGTGGCAAATGTAGATTAACGTCTTGCCAAAGGACGTTAGTGCTGTGGCAGGGATTTGAACCCTGTACCATGTGGTTCACAGTCGGGAGACTTATCCACTGGACCACAACCCTTCTATCTGTGGGTGAGAAAGATACATTTCCCATATGCTTCTGCACCATTTACCGATATCAACTTACTGGTTATTGCAATGAGAAGAAAGTATATAATGAATTTTCTGTCCATCCCATATGCGATATAAAAATCCTCTATAAAATCGAACAAAATATTTGAAATCAGCACCACTGTAAATAAAAAAGCATTTGTATAGATAACCCCGATCTTATAGACGAGATTATGAACAGAACTTGCTCTAAGAATGACAACATAACATAATCTCCTACTCGAATTGCACATAAGAAAATATTTCTATAATAAAGAAGAACAACAAGGAACATCAATGTAGATTACTTAAACATCTGTTAAGCTGTGAGAGAAGAGTCTTAGCTAAATGTCCCTTGAAAATGCATTCACAAGTGACTTAACCAACGGACCTAACGACATCTTTAAAAGAACACAAAATATCCTAAAACAATAGTGAAGAGTTATCAAGAAACATTTGACATATATCTGTCTAAAGTTGCTTAAGCACTTTGAAAACCCACTTATTGATGCACATGCAGGCCCCTACATGAAAGTTTAATACATAAATGCAGTATCTAGTGCAATACTTGAGATTAAAAAAAACAGGTTTATATAACATGAATACGCAAATAAAAATAGCAAACAATAGCAAACAAAAGAAATACATTAACTTTAATAGCAATGACTTATGCAAAAATAGGTCTTTCGTAATCAATATTGTGTACGGTAATCAACATTTTATTAGAAAGCCAATTTCAAATATTGCAGACACAGGAGGAGTTAAAAGTTCAATTGAGTTGAAATTTAAAATTCATCGGCAAATTTCAATAAATTACAATAGCTTTAAAGATATCTACATCTAACGACAATAGTCTATGACTCATACAAAATTCAGCACCTAATCTTATTGTCTTCAAAAAGGCACATTAACATACGGAATAGATGGGATACTGTTAGTCCGAGTCTCTAATCAACAAATCATCAATTTCATAAATAGAATTGCTCTCTCTAAAGAGACCGCAGATTAAAATTCATTTGTGAAGTTTGTAACATCACCAAGAATAGAAGAGAGACGGTCATAACAAGTGTCAAAGTATTTAAGAGTTATCAGGTGTAAACGGAAGGTAATGTTTGACGTTTGGGGCAAATGAAAGGAGTTCATGGCGCTTAAGTTTATATGAATCTGCTTGAACAATGACATTTTGAAAATTCCTGAAGAAAAGATAATAATTTAGTGAGCAAAAGAGAAAATTCCTGTTCTGTATTTCTGTCTTTCCGAGTAAATTGTTTAAACAAAGTCCTTGCACAAAAAATTCAAATTGACCCATAATTTTTTTAATTTTTTTAGGGGGGGGGGGGGATTTGGAATCTTTGAAAAGATCTTTATTAATATTATCATTAGAGTCCCCAACATGTTCAAAAGTACCAATAACATATTAATTACAAATGGATAATAAAAGCCAGACCTATTCAAAGTTATTGTATCTGTTTAGAGAACAGAATTAAAGGCAGTGTAAAGATCAAGAAAGATTTGATAATAATCTATAAAAAGACGAATCAAGAGTTGATATGAATAACAAAACATCCTCACCGCTCTTACAATTCACGATCCATATGACTTTCATCGCCCCACATATCAAGCTGGTATACGAAACCACACGTTTCACAACCACATATTTTCTTGAATACATATCTGTTCACAACTCTTTGGATCAAAAGACTTGTATTTTTGTTTTACTTGAACGAACATCAATTATTTGCATATCGTATATATCGAGTCTTCTTCTTATTTCTCCACTAAGTTCCACACCCCATCAACACAACTGTATAAAATGGTGATTCTGCGCAATGTGTCACATAAGATACACATGTACATGTATGCCACTTGTGCAGTTCTTTCATCAAAAAGTGAAAAATCTCCTGATCTGGCCATTGCTAATTGTAGTGATATCAAAAGAACCGTTTCTAATGGTCACGTTAAGAATTTATTCATTCTTAGATTCAGATAAACAGATAAAGGAATAAAGGTCATACGTCTTTCTGGACACATTGCACAGAATCCCCCAAAGAGTAAATCTATCTTTGGCTCACATGTAATACGTTTCTTGCAAATAGAACCTTCTTCATTAAGCCTACTCATCGAAAGAATGTAACACTGCTCACGGTGCCCCGGAAATATTATTAATCATATATGTTCATGTCTCTTCTCCATCTGTTTGATCCCATCCTGAAGGTTAATCCACAGTTGTCTTCCTCTTAAGTCACTTGGCCATGTTAAGCTCTTGCAATCTTTGGTTTCCATGCTGACGTGTTTTGGTTTCAATGCAGATCTATCTTGTCTTGGTTTCCATAGCCTACTGGCAAATGCAGTGCACGCTGACGATCCAGAGAAATTCCAGAGACCACTCCCGAGACATCTAGTGCTCTCTTCCTTTCAAATCTCATTTATCTTCCTCCCACCGCTTGCAATCTTTAGTTCATCTCCGTGACAGGCTTCATAGGCCTTTCAAGATGAAGAAGAAGAAGAAGAAGACGATGTAATAACCATTCCATGTTAGAAATCACATTAATTCCGCATTTTCACCTCTGGGTCTTCGGTACCGGTATTGCCTTCGCCACTGGGGTAGTCCTTCTGTCGATGCTATCCTGAGCTCCCTACAATCACAAGGGATGCAAACCATTTTACGGTTACTCTGTTAGATGTGATTTGTTTAACGAGGGTGAAGCACCTTTCTTGTAGTATTGCTATCCACCGAGGTCCTGCTACCAAAGAATGGCATTTCCAATTCCAATAAGGATCAAGTATTGGTAATATATTTCTCTTTCATTCATATATGCTACGCAAGTAGTTCAATTCCACATGACAGTTGAATGTAAACAGAAAGTCCTTGATGGAAAGAATATTTCACATCTGTTCTATCATTAAAGCACTCCAGTTTCAAACACAAAAGTTTAGTCAGTACGACACAATTAAAATTTAGAAGACAATATTTTCCACACGGCTTATCCTCGATGATAACTATATTAGAAGTTTCATTGTGTAGATGTTGCTCCATCACACCCTAAGATTTCAAGAAGACGTATGATGACAAACCAATGTCAAGAAAATATTCATATAATCATCTCTTAGTTCTCGCTAACTAGGCAAACGGCGATCGGTGACGGCTCAGCTTGCGTTATACGAACGACGAGAAGCCGTGCACGGGTGCCCGTGAGCCGGGCTGCATTTTGGCTAGATTGTTCTGTAGGTATACAGTTCTTCCGTCCACGGTGGGCACGGGATCCGGTTCACTGTCCGTGTAGCTGTATGCGTTACTGTTTGGACCGCTCGGTGGATTCTGGCGTCGCCATGATTGCGAGCCTGGAAGACTGGCGTAGTGGTTGACGAAGGAGGGAGGATCGCCCCCATAGGCTCCCCCGCCATCTACTTCAACGTCACTCTCACTAGCCTGGAAAGTAAGGAAGAAGGATATGAGAAGAGTAAATAACAAGCGTGCAAAATTTGAAAGAAACAGTGCTCGATCAATTTTTATCCTCGACTGATTATCAAACAAGAGAGTCTGATTTGTTATTCTCTCTTATCACCAGCTCAAACATCCTTGTATTTTGCCCCATCTCACTTTCATCACATCTGTCCTATATTGGTCAATATTATTCATTGCAAATCATCTGATTTCTAATGCAATAAAACTATCTTCAAATTTTGAAAAGTAATGAAAATTAACAAATCAAAGGAGTCTATAATTATTCAGATTGCTTCTCATAGTTATCATCCGTGATCCAATCATAACATACCTGCCAACTTTTCACAGCAAAAAAGTAGGAACCCCTCAAGGTAAAATTAAGAATAAAGTCGATTGTTTAAAAAATATTTTTCACACAGAAAAAGAGAGGAATATAGGGTTAAAAACAATAGCTTTAGGGCCAAGATAAACATGGTTGGCAGCTATATCATAAGCATGATATAGAAGGGAAAAAAACTTAACTTACTAATGACTCTGAGAGTGACTGTAAATCGTTTTTCTCCGTGAGACTGCTGCTCTCTCCCGGCTCCTCGCCAGCCATCCTCCTCCTGACGTCTTCATAATGTTTACTCTCCTCCTCCTCCGAGTATTGTATGCTTCCTGGGCTGGGCCTTGGAGGGGGTCTGGTAGGTCAAGAGGGGAGAAAGTAGAGCAGGAATTAGATTTTTGTTTGTGGCAGCTCCTTGGTGTTTTTTCTCCATAGGAACAATAATATTTCCATGATAAAAAATGGCCTCTCATGTCTTTCCATAGGAACAATAGTATTTCCATGATAAAAACATGGCCTCTTATGTCTTTCCATAGGAACAATAATATTTCCATGATAAAAACATGGCCTCTTATGTCTTTCCATAGGAACAATAGTATTTCCATGATAAAAACATGGCCTCTCATGTCTTTCCATAGGAACAATAATATTTCCATGATAAAAAAATGGCCTCTTATGTCTTTCCATAGGAACAATAATATTTCCATGATAAAAACATGGCCTCTTATGTCTTTCCATAGGAACAATAATATTTCCATGATAAAAACATGGCCTCTTATGTCTTTCCATAGGAACAATAGTATTTCCATGATAAAAACATGGCCTCTCATGTCTTTCCATAGGAACAATAATATTTCCATGATAAAAAAATGGCCTCTTATGTCTTTCCATAGGAACAATAATATTTCCATGATAAAAACATGGCCTCTTATGTCTTTCCATAGGAACAATAATATTTCCATGATAAAAACATGGCCTCTTATGTCTTTCCATAGGAACAATAGTATTTCCATGATAAAAACATGGCCTCTCATGTCTTTCCATAGGAACAATAGTATTTCCATGATAAAAAATGGTCTCTCATGTCTTTTATTACCACTGCTTTTACTAAAACTATTTCTAACATAGTAAAGATATATTTGACACATTTCGAGAACTACGGTATTGGAAAACAAGATACCTTCCCATGCATTATACTTTGGCAAATTTTGTGATTGGTCCAGTCTTGCAAGTGTTTCATATTAAAAAATGACTGAATTTCAATATCTTGCAACAAAGGATTTTGTTTGCAACATGTGTTGAAATTGCATGCCACAAAAATTGCTATCAACAACAATTTGCAAAAGTATTGTGTTACAAGAGTTTCTGGTTTTACAATTAATGGGTTTCTCCCTCTTTCTAATTGTTTGGCAAACGCGACCCTTTACTTGATGTCAAAACTTGATTGAGCAAGTAAAAATTCAAATTCTAGTCAAATTCACACCAGTCTTATGGGTTATTAGCTTTACATAATAAGGCAGAAGGTATCTCTAAAAGTAAATCACCTTAATGTGTACCGTAGTGATAAATCAGGACTGTAAATGTACACTAACAGACATTTGTTTATCATACAAACTGCTAGTACTTGAATTGCATGCTAACTAAAACCAACTACTCGAGTTCGCATGCATCAAGTCTTGCAGATCGTAGCATGTAGCATGTACTAACCAGGGTACATGCCATGGAGAAAAGCTAGACACACTTAATAAACATGTATGTACCCCAAACAACGCTGATTCCCAACAACTCAAGAAAATACTAGGAAAATTTATCTTGGGAGTTTGAACATATACATGTTGAGATATGTATTTTTAAAGCCAAATGTTACTGGTTCTTGAATCTCAAGAATTTTCTACACCAAATGATTGTCATAGCCCTTTTTTTTTCTTTCTTTCTTTTGTCTAACTTGCTGTTCAGAACAGAAGGGCATTATAAACTCTAAATCTACATATAAGGCCTATAAAAAAAAAAGTGTTGTATTGCCCTTTGCGTCGACCCCCAAAACTTTTTTTGTTGTTATTTACCGTTTTTAGAGAAAAAAACCTATCAAAGCATTAAAAACTGCGAAATATCAGCCCAAAGAGGGAGAAAAACAAAGAAAAAAAAAAACAATTAAAAAAAAAGGAGATTTCCAACCGACCGACCGACCCATATTTTGGCACCTAAAGGGAAATACAACTTCTTCTTGTTTAAAGGCCTAAGCGTTAGCATTCTTATGGCTCTTAGCAGACAATTATCACAAAATTTGTGTTAACTTCCAAAACCTTTATTCTTTGTTCACTTCACTTCACAATCAAATACATACACACATGTGTATGTTCTTCATCAAACTGGAAACTGAAAATGCCTGAAAATGATTCAGATAGAATTACATGTAGTACAGAAACATTATTCTATACACTGTTCAAATAGGCAATGCAAAACTGTACACACAACATATGATGTACATGTATGCATTCAAATACTACTTTCCCATTTACCAGCTTATTGGACAAACAGCACACTAAAAATTTATACGCGTGACAAGAAAAATGAATTATCAGTCATATTTGTGTAACACATTTTTTAGTAAAGCTTCAGCAAAACGATGACTCTAAACATATCAACTTGTGAAAACATATTACACTATACGTCAGTGTGCTAAAACATTGCAAAGTGATTCACATAGACTATTTTCCATCTCCAAAAACATCAACACACGTTAAAAATATGAACATATTTTTCAAACACCAACACGTCTCAAAGGGTCTGTTTATATGTGAATGTAACTCTGGGTTTAGTCGTTTTCATTATCCTATGTTATATGTATCAGGAACTTTCCAAAGCATTCTGCTAATGTAGAAGTTTGAACAGGGCTAGCATAAACAGTGAACACTGTCAGTCATTGGGCATGCCTTGTTCACATTTAACTTTAGTCTCATTCAAACTCCTCATGCAGGGCATATAATGGGGAAATACAAGGGATACTACATGGGAATGAAAGCCACAGCACTCCAAAATGGGGAACAACCACTGATTGGTCAGTTTAAATTTTGGGGTGCTCTGATTGGAGGACATACGCTGCTGAAGGTCCAAGGAATGTCAGCAATTGTGGAAGCTCCTCGTTACTGCTGCGGAACAAATGTTAATCATAAAATAAATGTATAATAAAGGAAAGTCGGGCAAATATTTAAAAAAGTGTACCATTTCTTGGTAAATATTAATAAAAATAAAAAATATATGCTTCTGATACACATCTAAATTCTATCCACTAATACTCACAAAGCAAAACCTAGTGGTTGTTTTCGAGTCTGTATTTGTTAAATGAAATCATAACATTGTAAATTTGTTCAGAGACAACTGCGCGAGAAGTATTGCAAACTTAACTTGGTTCTGAAAATATGCATGTACTTGCTGACAAGTCATATTATCTAGTCTTCTTATCTCTTTTCTCGAAATAATGAAATTGTTTTCCAAGAAATTGTTACCATTCCGCTACTATTACACTTTGTGCAAAGTGATGTTGTATATTACAGTAGGAAAACCGTGAATGCAACACCGCAAGCATTTAGAAAGATTTGTTTACAGTTTAACCATTCAGCATTCTCTCCTGGACTTTCTTTCTTTCTCAGTCTGTCTCTCTTTCTCTCTTCCCATCTCTCTCTCTCTCTTTCTCCTTTTCTCTCCCACTTTTTCCTTTTCTATCTCTCTTTCTCTCTCTTTAAATGAATTCAAGGTTATCAGCACATAAATATCTACCTCCTAATCATCTTTAATAATCACACTAGTATATTTCTAGAAAATCCTTTTCACTGAGCATACCTTGTATATGAATTTGTCCTAGCATATGCTGCGCTTCGACCATTTGATCTTCCATTCCTCGGTGGTCGTCTGTCCGCTGGATCCATCTCAAACGACGTGAATCCACCGTCTTCCGTCCCGTTCACTCTCTCATCGGGTGTCATCCTTTTATGAACTTTCCTATCTGTATATGCATACAAGGAATTATGAAAAAACTTAGATTATAAAGATGCATACCATTGCGATTATTATGTATTTTCAGGACTCCCCCAATCTTCCCCTCTCACATGGTGTAACTGTAAGCCTACTGTAAATTATGTTTTTGTAAAAGAAAATCTCTACCTTCATGTTCCATGGATAGGGATTCCTTTCTTTTTCATCTTTTTTTGCTTGTGATCATCTTTTTCATATTTCCAGAAAATAAAGCAGGTTTGTCTTGATAGATGGACTCTTGGATAACGCTTTAGTTTCTACCTAGTCTTATTCCTACACTATAATTAATCTCTATCTGTCTTGTGTTCTTTCTTTAGTGGTTACAGCTGTATTTTTATCAATTCAAAGTCAGAATCGTTAAGAGGATTTAAAGCCCATCAATACCCAGTAAACAGGAGGGATTAGACTACCCTGCAAGGTCACTGGACAGGTGGTTATTTTTATCGAATCAGCTCTGAATTAACATAAGAAAAAGAGGATCATGGGGGACCAATGGTCACCAATTATGCATTGTTTGTTATATACATGTAGATGGAGCAAGTAGCTATAAGTAGTGCAGTGTGGCTTTAAAGCAAAATATACTGTATGACCATTTAGTAATATTTAAAGACAATTAGGAGACTTCTTTCACCCATTTAGATTTAATCACATAAAGTTTTGAAGACATCTGGACTCATGAGGCTGTATAAAACCACCAAGGCCCTGTTGCATAAGACTTGGCATTGATGCTAACTTTGCCACCAAGGGTAACTTCCATGGAAACCTTGATTTGATGGGTTATTGAGTGACGTTGCCATGGTAATTAATATTGATTGTGTAAGTTTTACAATAAGGGGTATTAGTTTCATGCAACAGGCCCCAAGACTTCATTTCGATGAAATCTGAAGTAGCCATATTGAAAGTTTATTCGCACTGAGAGCAGTGCATTTACATAATAATATATACAGTCAAACCTGTCTATAGTGACTGCCCAAGGGAAACACAAAAAAGTGGTCTTTGTAGACAGGTTCCTTTAGTACTGTACATGTGTCAATGAGAAACCATTTTCAGGGGAAACGAAGAATGTGGTCCTTGTAGACAGGTGGTCTTTGTAGACAGGTAGTCACTAAAGCAGGTTTGACTGTATTTATTCAAATGAATCCTTTCAAAGAGATGACCACCTGGGGAAGCAACTCAACACGCCAAACGATACATACCGACATATAAACGGCTTCTTCCCAGCATGCATAGCGTGGCTCCGACCAGAATGATGACGATGGTGCCGACGAGGGCGACAATCACCAAGAACCACCACTCCTCGTAAAAGTTCTTCTGAGCTGCGTTCGTTCCTCCAGCTGGAAAAATATCGGGGAAAATCAGAAAAATTGCAACAGTTTCTTTAGACGATATGAACAAAAGTTAAACTCGTATCATACGAAGACATAATCTGGTTTTGCTTCATCTTCTGATTCATGCTTATTCTAAGACTTACATGCAGATGAACTGTAAAGCGGGGTTTTTACATTACGATCAACAGATTGACAATTTTTTGAAAAGTTTTGTTACTTTTATTTTTGAATAGATTTATGAAACATAACATAATCTAAGATGGAGCCAACCAATTTGATTGGCCTTACATTTTTGCAATTACACAATGCATACTATACAATAGAAAGAAAAAAAAGGTGCAATTTCATCAAGGGACCCTTTAAAATTTAGTACTTTTAGTGAGATATTCAAATTGCGTTCATAAATGCTCTACGTTAGGACAGGAAAGCATTAGAGCAGCTAGCAATGGTATGTTTATTACTCTGACGTCATCTCTAGTTTGGTTTACATCTAGCCTTAATCATAAATATTTTGCACATACATTTTCATGTGTCTGCCATGAGAGTTAAAAAAAAATTGTGTATAGATGCAAACACAATGCAGTGCAGTAATTTTTTAGATAATACTATCCATGCACTGGTTTGTGAGTGTTGGATAAAAATGTGCTAGCGAGACTATGAAAAAACACAAATAAGATATCCCGAGGCATTTACAGGAGTGATTTACTATCAAATGTGTGACATCTATTACAAATTAATTTGTAAAGAGATGCATTAAGAAAAGAGTTTGGGGGAATAAATCCATTTTTAATTGTACTATTTGTCTAGAAAATGCATTTTAAAGTACATCTACGCATTAAATCTAATTGATCCAACAATTAAATTGCCTAAAAGCATACCTCCCAGAGTTCTTTCACAGCAAAAATTAGGAATCTCTCAAGACAAAATTAGGAAAACAGTGTATTTTGTATAATTTTGCACACAGAATATTTCAGGTAAAAAAAGAAGGAATTTAGGGTTCAAAACAATAGCCTGAAGGCCTGAAAGAGGAATGATGTGAGTTATGAAAAATATTCATCAAAAAGGGATAACCTGATGACTAAATCTGTTGGGGAAGGAAAAAGGAAAAAGAAGATTTTTTTTTGTCAGGCCTTTGATGGCATCAACAACTCAGAATGCAAATCATTACATGTACATGTATATCACAAACCAGGATTATAGTACCACATATAACAAGTTCAATTATAAAAATCAACATTCAGATATGTTACACTAATATATTGTAAAACACATTTGTAGAATAAAAAAAGTATAAGTGCAGATACACAAACAAGTACATTTCTAAAAAATTGCCCAAACTCACAAGCACAACACTTCAAGATGTTTCACAGAAACAAACCAATGTACATGGTCATTTGGAAACAGGTAAGGGTTAACTCGAGACAACCACCAACATGCTTAACTCCTCTAGCAGATCACTTAAATGTATAAATAAGTAAAATTAGAGTGTCAAAGTATATCTTTTGACCAAGGGCTTTGATTATTTGTTTTTGTTTCTAAAGAAGGCACATGTACAAATAATATAATATAATGTGAAGCTTTCTTCTTCCTTTGGAGTACAGACCTCTTAACAGAGTATTATGGTACTATACTGGGGTGTGTGCAGGTGGACCACTACACCGGGGTTTCCCCCTACTCTTATATGAATAGTGCAGTGGGTTCTTAACGTGCGAAGGTAGTGACTCTTCTCTAAGCTTTTGAGTGTATATGTTATTACACACTCAATTTCACACCAAAAACACTGAAAGAATAAAAACTGAAGTGTATGACTGTTGACAATCATGACTGAAATTAAAACAGCGCTCATCACTAACAGGAAACCGGGACAAATGGGTGCCCTAAATGGAAGCCTGGACCCCTGAAATATCAACATTTTTGCACAGAGCTCGTGCATATGGATTTGAAAAAGTTAAATCTGGACCCCTTTCCTAAAAATTTAGAGTGGAGCCCGGCTCAAACCATCGTGGGGTTCAGAAATAATTTGGGCCATCGAGCAATATTTTGTTTCTGTAAATCAACTATTATTAAAATCTCACTGGCAGAATATATAGTACACATACTGTATCATGCACAGTTCAATTCACATTTGGCTATATTACAGTGTTGCTAGTTATAAAGAGTAAATAGGAATAAGTGACCAAAAAAAAAAGAGAGAGAGAAATCTACAGATACATGATGAAAATACCTTCAGTTGTGGCTTCAAAAGAAGTTAAATGAGGTGAAGTAGCTGCCATAGCAGTAGCTAGGGCTGAAAATTACAGGAATAGGTTAGATTAAGCATGATCATTCTAATGGTAGATTAGCATGAAATATGAAATACACAGGAATGTGACAAAAGTTTGGAAAAAATCGGAATATTCCCAATTTTCAGGTCCTGAAAATCCCAAAAATCAGAATATTCCGGATTATTCAGAAGGGTTGGCAGGTATGACAAATGTTCAATTTATAATTTCATATTCAAGGTCTGATCAAGCTTCAGAATTTTTTTTTCAGGCAGATGAAATCATTGTCTAATGTTTTCAGGAAATTAAAGAAAAAAGGGAACAGAAGACAAGAAAGGAGGAAAAATCAAGAAAGCGAGTGTAATAAGGAAAATGAAAAACAAAATGCACAAGAAGCAGACAGGATAGCACAAAAAAAGAACAAGAATCTTAAGGAAAAAGAATGTAAAAGAATCTCTTGCAGTGGCAGGTATTGACAAACTAGGTTGTAATTTTTTAAAGTAACATAGCAGAAATATTTCTCATCCTAGCACATTTTATGACTTCATGCAATGATCTCTACACAGCCACATTATAGCCCAGAGCTAAATAACAGCCTTGTTATTCTCTTCCACTGTCATAATATAATAGGGACTTACATATGCAGTCATTTTTGAAGCAGGGTTGACGAGGCACGCTGACTGTTGTTTGTTACCTTATCGATTTCACACGACGACAACGCTTGCTCAGTGACGTCATGCATTACATGTATGTTCGCACTCGCTAAGATCCAACACCAAATTCGGTGCATGGGACTGTACCTGATAATTATGCTGAAACTATTTGGCGATGCATAAATAAAATGTGTTCATTTTATGGATTAATTTGTTACAATTTTGATTTAAGGGAAATTACAGACAAGAAAATGTGTTAATTTTAAAGAGCTCATGCTTCCACAACTCTCTGCTTGCATAATGAGGTCAATTGGGTCCATTCTGTGACTTCAATGTGCTGTTCTGTATCTGCAGAATATTGCTTATGTACAGTACCGTCACAGATTGCGAACGACGGCAAAACAAGGGTGAACGTGTTCAAGAATTCTGCTATGAACGATGAGCTCGTCGATGCACTGCTTAAAAAATGACCGCATATGTTGCAGTCCACTAGTGAACGTGCAAATCGAGAAGTCCCTAATACTGATTTTACAGACAGGTGGTCACTGAGGCAGGTTGACTGTGCCGTTTTCAATGACAACCCTGTTCAAGGGAAACAAAAAATATGGTCTTTGTAGAGAGGTCACGGATGATGCAGAGTCCTAATGCAGAGGTGGGGTCTAGGAGACGAACAAACAGCATACGAATGCGGCCAGGAACAGACAATGGAACACCTGCTAGTCTGCCCACTCCTGCCAGAGCCATGCACCCAAGATGCCCTGGAAGCCATGAATTGCCGTGTCGAAGCCTGTGTGGACCACTGGACGGGACTTGTGTAGTGACTCGATAAGAAGAAGAAGAAGAAGAATGACAAGAATGACAGCCCTGTTCAAGGGCAACAAAAAATATGGTCTTTGTAGAGAGGTCACCAAGGCAGGTTGACTGGGCAGGTATCAATGAAACCCCTGTTCAGGGGAAACAAAAATTGTGGTCTTTGTAGAGAGGTGGTCTTTCTATACAAGTGGTCCCCAAGGCAGGTTGACTGGGCAGGTATCAGTGAGAACCCTGTTCTAGAGAAACAAAAAGAAAGTGGGCTTTCCAATAGAGGTGGTTGCTAAAGCAGGTATGACTGTACGTACCTGGAACCATGAGCTCTTCGCTCGGGGCTGGTTCGCTGACGCTGATCTCGCTCTCGGCCATGACCCGGAAGGTATACACCGTGACGGGGTCAAGGCTGCTGTACGGAATGGAGAACTGTGATTGGTTGGCGCCGATGGTGTCGTTGACGTTCTCCCACGTGTCTTGACCTGAGGGGTTAGAAGAAAAATTATGTCACATGTTTGTTTAATTTAATAACACATAAAACAATAACCCTGGACCAAACATTTTGGGTAGTATTCTCGAAAAACGACTAACTTTAGTCCATGGTTTAATGCACCGACTAAGTATGGAATACCACGTGTCCATATGAATATGTTTTTGAATAATTTAATTTGTCACTAAATTCAAATAAAATGTAATAACATAATGTAACATTGATATAAATCTATGATATAAATACAACTTTTGCATAAATACATGTATAACTTATTCATAAGGTAAATTTTTTCATTTACAAAGTTTATACAGTAAATGTCTTCACTTCAGGAACTCGGCACCCATTCTACTGACCTTTTTCTTGTGATTGTATGATGTATCCAATGAGAGGTTTGTCGCCGTGGAACACAGGCTCTTCCCATGAAACGGTCAAGAAGGATGACCCGGGAGACAATTCAATATTCGTCGGTGAGTCAGGAGCACCTGTATGTATGAGGGAGGGGGAGGAGGGAAGAAAAGAGAGAGAGATAGATAGAACAGTCAGAAATGAAACAAAAATAAAAATATGCCCCACATGTCTTAAAATCTGTATCCGGACACCTACCCCCTGAATATCCACCCGGCCCTGGATAACCACCCACAGTCAAGTACCCCCAAGGACAACTACCCCCTAGGACAACTACCCCCTGGATCACTCCCTCCCCCCCCCCCAGACGATTACCCCCACACAACTACCCCCTAAGATAGTTGTCTGGGGGGTAGTTGTCCGGGTGGTAGTTTGCCCGGGGGGGGGGGGGGGGTGGTAGTTGTCCTAGGGGGTAGTTGTCCGGGGGGCAGTTGTCCGGGGGATAGTTGTTTTAGGGGGTAGTTGTCCAGGGGTAGTTGTCCCTGGGGGTAGTCGTCCTAGAGAGTGGTTGCCCTAGAGAGTAGTTGACAGGGGGGGGGGGGGGGGGGTGGTTATCTGGGGGTGGATGTCCAGGGGGTAGGTGTCCTAGAATCCTTAAAATCCTTAAAATCTTAAAATCTTTATATGAAATACAGTTATACACACAGGCCTGAACAATGAAACTGATGATCAATTGGACAATTCAGGTGAAGTGCTTACAGGTAACAATGGAACAAAGTGTGGTGATACATGTTCTAGAGGCAAAGACTGCTCTGTCCATTTCCTACAAGTAATGTAATTTGAGCAAGATTTTCTACCTTCTTGTGGTCCAGTTGTGATGTTTTGGCCCCTCCGTGGTCCCTCGAAGCTAGCGGTCTCCGCATGGACTTCAAAAAGGTATCGTTCCCTCTCCCCAAGCCTCTTAGCAACGTAGGAGTATTGATCACTGGGTAGTGTGACTACCACAGATGTCCTTTCACCTATAAAGAAATAGACAGGTGATATATTGTTTCATGTTTGGGTCATTTTATGGGAAACTACGATATTTAAATAAGGGCAAAATACAATTTTACATGAGCAATAAAATGATAATAATAACAATGATAATGATAGTGGTAGCTTCTTGTATAGCCCCCATGTTCTTCAATTTTACAAAACAAAAACACATCTACTTCTATTCAAAATGTTTTTTTTTTTTAAATCAGGGACTATATTTCAATATTCAATGACTGAACATACATCATAAGTTAAGTAGCGTTTAAAAGCTCTGAAATGTGGGAAAAAAATAAACAAGCACAGATGTATAAAAATGTGAACTCTATTTGTAAAACTATAAGTGATAGTTTGAGCAGGGTTTAAGAAGTCTATGAATGATAATAACTAAAAAGTGAAGTCTAGTCATCTATGAAAGACGTGTAACAAAAAAGTCTGTGTTATTCCTTTCAAAAACACATTCTAAACATACCCTTTTCCATTTAACCAAATTATACCAAGATCTTTGAAAAAATTAATTTACAGGAGTTTTTTTAAAAGCCCATCTGTACTAGTTTACAGGAGGGATTAGACCACCCTGCAAGGTCACTGACAGGTGGTTATCTCATCAAATCAGCTCTCAATTAACATGAAAAAAGGGGACCATGGGGGACCAATGGTCACCGATTAGGCATTGTTTGCTATATAGAGGGCACAAGTAGCTATAAGTAGTGCAGTTGGGCTTTAAAAGTCCACAGTCCCATTAATTACCATTGATTGGCTCATGAGGTTGGTAGAAGAGTTTGTACTGGATGATGGTCCCACAGGGCGAGGTCGGAGGTCCCCATGATACCTTGAGAGAGCTCATCCTTACTTGGCTGAACTGCAGACTGCTCACCTCGCTTGGAACTGGTGGAAGAAAATACATTCATGAAAATTTATCAAGAACCTGTTTCATAAAGAATGTTATTAATGAGAAATGCTAAATTTCTATGGCAAATCTGCTCTCAGTTAATCAAATTTCAGTAGCTTATAACAGTTATTGTAACTCGTTATTGATTACAAGATTTATGAAACAAGCCCCTGATCATGAAGGGAAGTGTCTGCTTTGCTCAATTGCACCAAAAGAAAATACTGAGCATAAAATGGGTGGATGGAGGTGATGAACTTATAAATCTCTTCTTCCCCTTTTGGCTGACATTTCTCAGTTTTGAAGCTTTAATATTTTTTTTCTCTAAAAAAACAAAAAACAAGATAACTAAAAGCCGACCGTAGATTTCAAGATTTTAGGGTGGGTCGCAAAGGGCAATACAACATCTTTTTCTTTTTTTTTAGACCTTACTTTAAATGCTCCCTATTTTTAAGGTAGTGGGGGGGGGGGGGGGGGGTCGAGGGGGTTGAAAAACAATATAAATTTGATAATGAAGCCAAGTACAGTACTGACCATCTTCACCCGTAGTGCTGTATGATGTAGGAGACCCAGGGCCATCCCCCGCTGCGTTGAAGCCCTTGACTGAGATCCCATACTCTGTGAAGCACTCCAGGTCATCCAGGGTCGCCACTGTGGCAGAGGCAGGGAAGGTCTTGGTCTGCTGCACTATGGTAGCCCGTGCCTGGCGGGAGTGATTCTCCCAATACAGCACCTAGGGATATACATGTTGGGCAAGAGTATTTAAAGGGACTTGGTAACATTGTTCAGATGAGAAAAAATTGGTGCTAAGATGGTGAATTCAATGCTAGATGTACAATTATAGATAATCTGAAAGTTTGAGTGAAAAAAAAATTATTTAAATTGATAACAATTGGTAAAAACTGATCTAATCAATTCCCTAATTCTCCTAACTTTATTATTATAATTACATTTTGGTTTCAATCTAGCAATGTATTTGAGAGCAAGTTTAATGATTGTTTTCAAAATTGACAGGTCCGGTGCCAAATAGAGGCTTGGATAAACTGTTTACCTTGTAACCTTGGAGACCACCATTCTGTGACTCGGTAGAGGGCGGTACCCATGAGATCTGGAATGCCGACGAACCAGTGGTTGCTACGGTGACGGCTGAAGGAGGCTCAGAGGGAACTAAGATGAGAAGGAAAAAAAAGGGAAATAGTTCAGTGTCTTGCAAGATTAACATAATAAACAAGTATGATCTACATATCTGCTGAAAATAGATTTTATTTTTTAAACCAACATATAAATACAAATCTGTTCATCTTCCATTCTTGAATGATATAAATTTCATTGACATGAATGAAATCATATATCTATTGTACTTATATACAAATTGACTTGTTGAGTACAAAGTAGGAGTAAACATTTTTCATAGCAAAAATAAATCGTGGTCACAAATCTACAGAATTTGCATTTTTTAATAGTTTTTGATAGATTATCTAAAGATCTAAAGATCAACTGGTTAGGATCAAAAAGTTATCCATCTTTACCTGCTTCACCGATGTACACATAGACAGGAGCGCTGTATGGTCCCAGCCCTATGCTGTTGGTGGCAGCCAGCTTCACCTCGTAGTTCTGATACCTCACCAGATTGAGGAGCTCATGCTCGGTCACCCCCGCATCGCTAATGGTCTCTTCCATGAAGCTGCCGCCGGGTAACTGCCTGAACTGGAAGCTGTAGCCGGTGAGTGGGCCGTTGGTCTGGGCCTGAAGGGGTGGCTGCCACGTCACCAGGAGGGACGTGACCGTGATGGGCGTCGCCCCTGTGATGGTGGGTACACCTTCAGGAACTATGGAGGAATATAAAATAATTGATGTGTAAGTATATGAAATGGAAACCCAACACAATGAACGATGCTTTAAACTAAGGCTGACACATTTTTTTGTTTGTTTGATTGATTTTATTTCTGCGTTCACATAACAAATACAAGGTTATACATATTTACATAAGTATGACATACATAGCAAATCATGTCTAATAATATTATACAATAACCATAATACAAAGCATACAAACATTCATTGTAGAGAATGAATAAAGAAAGAAGAGATTTAATAAGATTGTATAACACTGGAGTGATGATTAGAACTCTTGATTGCTTAGTAAACTAATTTTGAGTCACTGATAGAATGACGATTCATATCTTTTGCATTTGACAAAAATTGGAACCTGCATAAATCAATAGATGTGTAATAAAACAGTAAAATCTCCATGATTGATAACAGTCATGAGAAAGGAAACAAAGATAAGATGAAACACACAAGTGTCACTACAATCTTTCCTCTTTGTGACAACCGATATTTCAATATCTTGAAGATAACATTGCAATGTACAAAACAAAGTGGAACAAAACTGGATTCTGCTAGATATATTGGAATCCATGACAAATCTGCTCGTAGCCAATCAAATGTAAGGCTTTCAGTAGCTTAAAACAATTATCGTATCTTGTTCTTGAGGGGCTAACAAGTTTTATGGAACAGGGTCCAGAACTGGATTGGACTGGATTCTGCTGGATATGACAAGATCAAACTTACTGTCTTGCTCAGTTGTGGTCTGATCTGATGTAGGACTTTCTGGACTGGCTCCAATGTCATTATACACTTTCAGACGGAAATAGTACAAAGTGTGTGGATTTAACCTGAAAAAAATAAGAGACAATAGTAACAGGAATGAACAAATAAAAAATTCAAGCATCTGATAATCTATAAAACTTATGTGTTTAAAAGTTTTGGGATTGTTTGCAAATGTTGACTCTCATGCTTTTCTACTCATACTCATCCCTATGCGAATACATAATGTCTAGTCCCAATTTTGATTTGTTCTGACAATTAACTTTGTTTGACTAACATAAAGATATCATAATTTTCAGAATGCCACCACAGGTCAATACCTTCTTTGTTAATGGATAATTTTTGAACTCACACATATATACAAGCACACACAGTGAATTACGCAAACATGTATATGAATGTGATCGTGCGCTATTACCAGTGGTAAAGTGGTCTTTATTTTCCCTCTTTGACATAAACAGGTTCCACAACACAGTAGACTACTAAAATACAACAGCAGTAATTGCGAAAGAAACACAAAATCTCTGTATGTATTCACATAGTACACGCATTCGCTCTTCTAGATACAAGTAATAATAATAATTAGATCAATTTATATAGCACAGCTACTATATAAATATACTCTACTGCGCTGTGATGAAAAGTCCTTACAGTGCTACTTTTATACAGACACACAAATAAAATAAAACTCTCCAAAAGCTCCTGAAAACAAGAGCGTCTTCAACCAAAATTTGAAGAGAGCAACAGAAGAAGACAGCAGCAGACATACATTCTATCCTTTTGTCACGATGTGAGACAGAAATCAAGAGAAGGATAGCTCTCGCTACATCTGCATTTTCAAAATTCTAACAAATCGCACAATAGGTATGAAGACTAGAATAAGAGTACTGAATTGTTACATCTACCCAATACTTATGTATGGTAGTGAAACATGGACTTTAGCCTCTGATACTAAAAAGCGTTTGGAAAGTTGCGAAATGAAGTTTTTAAGAAGAATGATGAAAATGCCTTGGACTGACAAAGTTAGTAATGTGGAAGTTCTTAGACGAGCTGGAGTGCAAAGGAAAATGATACGTGAGATGTTGATTAGGCAGTTGAAGTTTATGGGTCACATTGCACGTAAAGAAGGCCTCGAGAATCTTGCTTTGACAGGGAAAATTGTGGGAAGAAGGAGTAAGGGAGAAAGGAGGATAATTTGGATGGACAGTCAGCAGAAATTGTTGAAAGAAGAGAGAGGAGTGAAAGAACTGTGGAACAGCATGATCGCCAAAGTCAATCAATATGGCACTTAGAGAGAGAGAGGGAGATCACAGATGGTCGCGATCTTACCCTGTGACTATATAGGAGACCTGGGAGGCGTCCACTGTCATGCTGTGCTGAGCCCATGGTCCCGAATCCACACGTACATCAATGATGTAATAACGAAGAGGGGAATTCCCGTTGTTACCAGGCGTCCATGATAGCCGCACCTGCCTGCTCTTGATGTGGTCCACGGTGGGCTTGGAGGGGGCTTCGGGTGCGGCTGCAGGGAGGAGAACATTGATACAAGCATATTAAAGGTGGATATACAGTCAAACCTGCTTTAGTGACCACCTGTCTACAAAGACCACCTGTCTGCAAGGACCACATTTGGTGTTTCCCTTTAAAATGGTTTCTCATTGAAACATGTACTAAAGGAACCTGTCTACAAAGGCCACCTGTCTACAAAGACCCCTTTTTGTGTTTCCCTTGGGTGGTCGCTATAGACAGGTTTGACTGTTTATATATATTTTTCAAGTTTGTTCATCATATTATGAACAAACTCAGGTGCAATTTAGAAATATTCATACAAGCACGTCGTAGGTAAAATATATATTTTTCATACGTTTTTCCTTCATATCATGAACAAACGCAGCTGCAGTTTAGAAATATTCATACCAGCATATTGAAGTTAAAATGATGTAATTTTGTGATATGTTTGTTTCCTCATATCATGAACGAACTCAGTTACATGAACTTTAAATGGGAGGAAAGAATTTGCGTACATATCTTTGAATTGAAATGAATTGAATCAATTCAATGACTTATCTGTCACTATAACAGAAATATTCTTCTTCTATTGGTACATTAAGTGTAACAAAGTACATTTACCAACAAAGTTACATTTAACAGTGAATTATATAAGTTGAGTATACAATGTAAATTTCAAAAGGAAAACACAAAAGAGTATTATATATATATAATTATATTTTGATGCACATTAAGATGTTAACATTCTTAGGGTATGAAAAGTAAATCATTGCAAACTGTTACGGACAGCACTACAACCTAGAAGAACAGAAAAAGAGAAAGAGATATTAGCTATCTTGGGGCAAATTCTGTAAACTGCATTTTGTACATAAGATAAGACCTTTGAAGAAGAAAAAAATTTACAACCTGTTCAGAACTTACTTCTATCTGTAGTAGTTATAACCAGGGCTGAAGCCGGCTGGCCAAATCCCGTCAACGTACTCGCCGTCACTTCAAAATAGTACGTCTCTTCAGGCATTAGTCCCGCCACGGTATGCTCTCTGCTGCCCCCTACATTCTCTTCAACGAGAGTATTGGCTGGTGCGGCCTGGAGACGGTAGCCGACCTTGTAGGTCAGGTCGACACCGTTGGGAAGGAGGGGTTCATTCCATGCGATGGTCACAGATGACTCCTGGACGGTGGGGAACGTGATGCCACCAGGAGGACCGGGAACTGTCGTGAAATAATAATCAAGTGTTACGTTTTATTTTTGTCTATTCATTCGATTTCAAGACAATGAGACAAAACATATAAAAACATTTCTATATGACATTTGTATTAAGCGCAATATTAAAGCTAAATATCATTATTATTATTATTAGGGAACGTGATGCCAACAGGAGGACCAGGAACTGTCAAGAAACAATATTCAAGTGTTATGTTTTATTTTTTGTCTATTCATTAATTTTTCAAGGCAAAGAGACAAATATTGAAACAAAGGAAGTAGGAAATACCACCAACTAGTGCCCCAGCAAGAAGGGAACCAGTGCCTATTAAAGAGGTTCTCGTCACTTGCTAAGCAATTTCATTTGTCAATTTATGTTCAAAATAATGATGATGTAATGTACAAACCAGAAGACAAGATGGAAACTATATCAATAACTATTTTTATTTTTTAAAAGAGTTGGACAAACATTGTCAAAATAAAGAAAGTGCACTTATTTACCTCTTACATTTTTTTGTTGGTTGTTGTCTTGTTCATGGAACAAAAATCAATCTCAGAGAAAGTGAAACGATTGAAAATTTATTGAAAATCACTTGTGAGAGAATGTAATCCCAGCAAAGTGTCTTGACATGCATTTGCCAATCAGACATGGAGGGAGGGGGAGGGGAATGCAAAACGAGATAAAAAATTGATCCTGTAACACATCACTATAACCATTTTGATTAGACAGATTGATTATAACTTAAACATGTCAGAGAGTAATTTTTATAAAGCACAGGAAAGTTTGCTGAAATTACTTACACCACTCATGCGTCCTGACGGGCACCTCGTTACCGATAACACCATCACCGACGACGGTATATGCCAGCACCGTGATGGTGTAGACAGTGTACCCCTTGAGGTGAGTTATAGTTGCCTCTCGAGTGGTGTTGCCTGGTACATCCAGGTACATCAGAATGCCCCCATTCTCTCGGAATATTACCTGGAATGAATTTAGTGTCAAGAAGAAACTGGCATCTTTTCTTTCCTTATCTTTGCGATGAGGCTCAATGGTGACCCTACCAGGGAGATTTGTATTTAAAATAAAATATATATCCCCCCCCCCCCTTAAAAAAAATGAGAACCTAGGAAAAATACATAGTATCCAACTAAAAATGTTTGTCTATTTAGAAATATCTTTTAAAAGGTGACAAAATAGCATATTGTGAAAATATGTACTGTCTTCATGTACTGGGAATGGTATAATGTTTTATAAACATGGACGTGTCATACAAATATATATACATGTATTTCCCTCTTCTTTCTCATTCTACTCTTTTTTCTTTTTCTCTCTATCTTTCTCGCTCTCTCTCTCTCACCCCCCCCCCCCCCCCCCCCCCCCCCGGATCATTCTGCTGCTGTCAAATTCTAGTTTCTATTACTTTGAAAATAATACACACTTAACTTTTGTACTGACAATTCAACCTGAACAAATACTAACTATTTATTTAAGAACCTGATTGAAGATTTAGAACCGTCGTGCAGCCTCTCCACTTACCTTGAAGCCCAATATCTCTCCATTCTGATGGATTGCAGGCACGTCACCCCATGTTGCCATGATCTCCGAGTAGTAGATGGGCAAGGCCTGGATGTTGGATGGGCCAGCAGAGGGGACTAACAAATAGAGAAGTAAACATTGATACTATATTTAGCATACCACAAATATGATGGCATATCTTTCCAAAAATTGATTATGAATTCTATTCTTTTTAATTCTTAAGGAAGCATTTGTAGGCTTGAAATCAAATGAGCAATATACAAAATATGTAAGTTGCTTCACGGAGTGATTGTTGTACACAAATCATGCTTATGTTCAAATGATATTGCCATCATCGCCACCACAACCTCTAACACAATTATCAAAACAAACAACATCATCCCCATCAGCATCATCAGCTTCATTAACATCATACCCGCGGCTTACCACCCTCACTACCGTTATAGTCAATACCATCATCATCATCATCATCATCTCCATTGCCACCAACACCACCATCAATCATCATCGTCGTCGTCATCGTCGTCATCATCACCATCCTCATCCTCATCAATATCATCATCATCATTATCTTCACCATAATCATCATCATCTACACCACCACCACCCTCCTCCTCCTCCTCATAATCATCATCACTACCACCATCATCATTAACCCACCTGCTTCATTTGTCCAGCCAGCAACCATCCCACTGGTAGGTCCAATATGCTGCTCATTGTAAGCCTCTATCCTCACATCGTACGGCATCCACAACCACCATCCACCCCAACCACCATCCTCCTCCTCATTATCATCATCATCACTACCACCATCATCATTAACCTACCTGCTTCATTTGTCCAGCCAGCAACCATTCCACTGGTAGGTCCGACATGCTGCTCGTTGTAGGCCTCTATCCTCACATCGTACGGCATCCACTCCTCCAAACCACCGATGACGTGGTTGTTGATGTACGGACTAGCGAGGTCAAAGATCATCTCCTGCATGTTGGTACCATACGGCTTCCAGTAGATGCGGTACCCCCCTGGTACGCCGTTCCATTCCGTGTCATCAAGGGGCTATGAAAAGGGGATGGAATCAGAGATTAAATGCCTAGCTGTATATTAGCTGTGAAAGACGTCATCTTTCATTAAACAAGGTGTTGTGGCGTGCGCCTGTAATCAAGCTAACAATGGAAGTTACAAACTGATTCAGCCGAGGACGCAGGTTTGAAACTGAGTCACGTCTTTCGCATGGTGATGTTAAAGGTCGGTCCACAGACATAAAAAATCGTATCTGATTGATACACAATTCTGTTGGAGGCTGCTCTGAATAGAGACCATCGCCCCCAGAACTTCATGGATACAGTTGCAAGTACTCTTTTATCTTGAGATAAAAGACATTACTCAAGATGACGATGGAAAGAGAGTGTGTCAAAAGGTGGCTGTCGCATTATGATGATACAACACATCTTTCAAATAGACTTTGGCAGTATCCTCAAAAGGTTTCATTACCTTGACATAAACTTACATGTACGTTTTGCCCGAACTTGAACCAATGAAGGTATGAACACAATCAAAGTACCAACAAACTGTATCATAGTGCATGTAATTAGCTGGTTCAGTGGTAATCTCACATTAGCCCTGCCAACTGTTTGGCCAATCTATATTTGGTGAAGAAAACATGATTACGGCTTAGTTACAATTAACTGCAAGGTAGATTAAGGGTTAGGTGTAGATTTTGGGTACAGGGTTTCAGTTAGGAATTAGAAAGAGAATTCACTGTAGAATTGTTGTTTGCCTTAGCACATTATACAATCGAATATAGCAACTTACCATCCATGTGACTCTCAAAGCAGTGGCATTGAACGCTCGTACTCTGACATCTCTGGGTGCGATGGCTGGCACTGTGGATTCAAATTGTACGACAGGTGGTTAAAGTTAGATTTGTAAATGAAATGAGCAGAGATTTTATTGAGGGGTCAGTGACAAAAAGTGACCATTTTTTGCCATTTTGAGAAAAAATGGTTTATGTGTCACTGAGCACTTGGGCCTTTAGGAGTTAAGTCTATGGTTCACTAGCCCTTGACTTCAATGGGGTGTTGGGTGGAGTTAAGTTTTTGTGTTTCCTGGAAAGCCCACATTTTTTCTGAACATTTTGGCAAAATATGGATTTTCTTTTGAGATTAGAAGAAATGAGAAGTAAGTTGCTCTATGCAAACCTCTCCCAAAGCTATAAAACCTGATGAATAAACTTCACTTCTCCTTTTTTTAATTCTTGATCATAACAGTTCAGCGTTTCAAACAAGCAGCAACAATAGAAGTGGTACTAACGAACTGTTGAAATATATTCACATATTCATTGTAACAGGTATCTCCCAACATGTCAATACTTATTTGTGAAAAATGATACAATTTCATTTATATGTACATCATAGCAAACTAGATAAATTAAGTATCAAAAATATACAAAAGAAACATATTGGCTGTTTACTATGTCAGTTTTCTTTTTGATTATACAGTCAAACCTGCTTTAGTGACCACCTGTCTACAACAACCACATTTTTGTTTCCCTTGAAAAAGGTTTCTCATTGAAACATGTACTAAAGGAACATGTCTTCAAAGACCACTTTTTGTGTTTCCCTTGGGCGGTTGCTATAGACAGGTTTGACTGTATCATGTTCTGTCATGCAATCTATAGTAGATGTAGACATACTTCATATTGAAAATGCAAATCACAATTCAGGGATACAGTCTCATACATTTTTCTTATGATTGTCGTAAATGGTAATAATAATTGTTTGGAATCCTTCATAAAAATAAAAGACTTGTCTCACGCCTAGGGTAATTTTAAACTTACCATCTTGATCAGTCTGGATCTGCTCCGAGGGTTCACTGACATTGCTAGAACCAGCCACGTTGGTAGCGATCATCCTGAACTGATAGTATGTGAACGGCTCCAGTCCTGTGATCTTGACAGACCTGGCGCTGGAGTCAGAGAGCTCGAAGACCGTCTCCCACCGGTCAGACTGACCAATAAGGCCCTGGACGGTCCAGAGGGTGATGCCAGCGTTGCCGTCGAGCCCGGGGGTGAAATGGAGCTGGACGGAGCGTGACTGGATGGTGGAGCCGGGGACGTTCAGGTTGGTAGGTGGTTGGGGGCGATCTGATGAAGGCAAATAAAGAATGTAAATGTAATGTAGGACTTCCTATCCATTTTAACACCTTTTTCATTAAATTTCATCAATGTCAACTTCAATTTTGTCTTAATAATCCATCAACGTGCAGATGTCAAAGTTAATTTAGCCATTTGTCATTCAAGTTATGGTCGATCAATTATAATACCTGTCCATTTATATTTGTCTCACCCGACGGTCCACTGCAGAATGTATTGATCAATTTCATATTTGTGCAATCAATTTCAAGAGAGTTTCATTCAAATTTGTCAGATAGACAAGACATTGAGCTACATGTAAACCATCCCCCAGGTATTAAAGGCAAACACATTTCTCACAATTTATGTAAGACCTTCTTAATTGTTAAAGAGAAGGTTGAGTTCTGGGAAGAGGTGAAAAATAATTTGGGAGCGTTATCATTCTTATTATGCAAGTGTGGAAGAACATCATATAAGACATGTTCCCTGAAAAGCATGGCTCTTCAAATGCCTTCATATTCTAAATATGTCATGTAACATCTTAAAAATCCGGGTAGGATTTTAACCCCATGTGTTCGTGTAGTCCCATATACATCTTTCTGTGTACAGTGTTTGCAACTTTACCAAGACTTGGCCAAATTTCTTATTATTTTGATGATTCCAGAACCTTGCAATACACACAAATTCTTACATGCTAGATGATCAACCTTTTCTGGTCGATTCCACACCATTTCTTTCACAATGCAATCGCATGACCAGAACTCAACTTTATCTTTAAATAAGGTATAAGATAAGATATGAAGAGCTCACCTGGTGGAACTCCAGAACTAACGAGGATGTCTGTGGTGGGTCCTGGACCTACACTGGTCTTAGCCCAGACCTGGATCAGATAGCTGGTCAGTGGCGTAAGCGCTGTAATGGTGTAACTTGTTTCATTGGGTTTTCGGTTGGCGTTGTAGATATTGGAGGTCCGGTTGTGCTCCTGCCAGCTTATACTGTAACCTGGATTCAATAAGTATAAATAGATGAAGTGCTAGTTTGCAACTTTGTCATAATTATCCAATCATACTAAGCATTCTTGGTGCATGTAACTACATTACTTGACCGTTTCTCTTTCTGGGGAAATTCTTCTACATTTTCCACGGGTATAAGTTGTTGATAATCAACATTGTTTTGTGTCTTACAGTCAAATAACAACGAGCAAGCAAAATTGTGGTAGACACACTATTAATCTCAGCTGTGTCAAACTACTGAAATCCTTGTTTTTGTTTGTTTGTAAGCAGATTTGTCATAGATCTGTGAAAGTTGTTATTGATAACAAATTTTATGAAACAGAACCCTGCACACACCATGATACTTCCATTGATAAATCAGAGCAAGACATGTTAAATCTCTAAAAGTAAATACTATGAAAAATAACAACAGAACAAAACTAGACCAAAAAATTAATGAAAACAAATATATATATATATATATATATATATATATATACATAGGCGTGAGGAAAATGGTCTAGGAGCGTGAGACGTAGCTGTACTTTACAATTTTATTACGAGCTGTCGGCTTGTGAGGCCTTCTTCAGGTTCTCGCTTGTGTGTTAGGCTGTCGGTGTGTTTTATATACATGAAGAAAAGAAAATATTTGCAATACAAGAACCATTTGTAATCAGTTACAAATATTAATACAAAATCTGTAACCACATTGAGTAATCAAGACGATTGTTAAAATTTACAAAAGGTTAACAAATATTCAAGAACACTCTCATGTTTAATCAACAATCCATCCCTCCTGGAGTCATTTTTGTGTTTCCACTGGATTTAGTACAATAAAAATGTTGATAAGATATCTGAGCAATCTTTGAAATAAATGATCCACCATTCTTACCGCTGAGTGCTCCATTGACCTCCTGTGGTTGCTCCCACGATACTTGCACGGATGTATCATATACATTGTTTAGACCAAGATTGCTCACAGGGCCAGGAACTACAGAGAAAACATACAAAGAGCCATGTTTTATTTTTTCAGAGTTTGTGAAACTAGGATTTCACAAATTTTGAATATGGTCCACAGCTGTTCAAAGATATGCCTATGAAACTTTATAAGCCCAGAGTAAATGCATAAAATTGTCAATGTCATATGGTTAGAGCAATTTTGATCTCATCCACACACATGTATATCCCTCCCTATAATTCATCAAAAATACACTAATTATCATCGGTATCATTATTGATAGAACAACAACAGCAACACCAACAAAAACAACAACTCATCCAAAAGAGACTGCAATGTATGGGATTATGATGCCCCCCCCCCCTCTCTCTCTCTCTTGCATGACAAAATGTAACTTGGGTAGTTCACATATCAATTTCAGTGATTTTCATTAAATGGATATCCAAAGTACAGTGAAACCTCCCATCCAAGGGAGACAAGAAAAGTGATCTTTATGTACAGGTTCCTTTAGTACATGTTTCAATGAGAAACCATTTTCAAGGGAAACAAAAAACGTGGTCTTTGTAGACAGGTGGTTTTTCTCTACAGGTGGTTACTAAAGCAGGTTCGACTGTAGTTATACTAGTATACACAAACAGATTAAATCTTAACAGAGAATGAAATATTTAGAAGTTAAGAATGAAGCCTCACCATCTTCATGTGTCATCAAGGTCTCAGGTGTGCTCGGGACACCATCTCCGGGGTTGGTGTAGCACAGGACAGAAGCCTGGTACTCGGTGAACTTCTTCAGGGTCGTGATGTTACCGATGAAGCGACTCTGGGCAACGTTCGGAGGGACCAGCACGGTGATGGGGTTGCTCTCCATCCCAGGCTCCCAGGCGAGCAGCTGAGAGAGGATTTAAAATGGGAACAGTCAATGAGTGGAAAATTTAATGTGCAAAAATTCAAAATATACAGCATTAAAGGTGTGTCCAGACATCTACCCCAGGGGCAATATGGTTCTACAACCCTCCCCCAAAGATAAGTATCCCCTTGATAGTACTCTCCTCCTACTAGGGGCTTGGTGGGGTGGGGGTAGATGTCACAGGAATTTTTCTGTGGGGGCCATGTATCCAAAAAATAAAAAGTGGGTGGTAGGTACCCTTGGAGTGATAGGCCAGGGGGCAGTTGAAAATCATACAGAATGTGTCAGTTTTTAATCTTCCACCTGAAAGTTCTGAATTTTTTATCATTTGATCTGCTTATGGTTTGCTAAAACAAGATTGAAAACTCACACACACAGTATAAAATCAATATTAACACATGGAACTACACAGTCTACTGAATATGTACCATTACTACATATTTTACACACAGTACATGTATTTTACGTATTCTTCTGACCTTGTAACCCTGGTTGATGCCGTTGATAAACTGGACGGGCGGTGAGCTGAATATATACATGAAGGATGTCGAGCTGGTCACTACTATATCGACCTCCTGTGGGGGTGCAGTTGGAACTGGATACAAAGATATAAATAGTAGTAATAAATATGAAGAGCGTTTTTAAATGTAATCTATGCATTCTTGTTAGAAATACACAAGTTATTAATGGTAAAGGTGTTGATGCAGAGAGTTCCTTATTGTTATCATAGTTAGTGGCATGTTCAAGTAATAAATATCAATGGAGAGCTAATGTATGAATCTCTAGATTCAGAATGTACATTGACAAGTTCAAGGTATTTTGGTCATTGGGTGTCGCATACATTACCAACCATTGTAATTTCTGAACATACATGTAGGTTCACATAAAATCAGTTATTTCCCTCATATTTTGCCTTCTGTTGTTGTTTTTTGTTGTTTTGAAGTTAGGGCTTTTGAATTCATGTGATGATATGAAAAACCTAAGTCTTAGATGTGGTCAGTGAAATGTTGGACTAAAAAAGCTTGGATTGCCAAACACACACAAACACAAAAAAATACCAACAGAAATTTCAACAAATCGGTGGTTAACAACGGACATATTGTTTTTGAAGTATTTCAAGTAAACAACAATAAGCCAGTTTGTAAATAGCTTCGGTACGCATGACCCCTCAAAATCCACAGATCTTTACACGATGGATACGTCCCACTTGTGCATTTTAGAATAATCACTGCCGAAGTGATAGAGGTGCTTCATGAATACCTCTAGTTTGCCTCTTGAAAGGAATACTTTTTATTCATGTTCATATTCATATTTATTTCATTTCCAACAGAAAGGTAAACAAAGATATTACATTTTTATTCATACATAATTCATTTTTTCAGGAAACTATACAAGTAAACTTTGCACATAATAAAATTATTACAATAAATTCTTAATTTAAAATAAATTCTTAATTTCTGAGGAAATGGGGGGGGGGGGGGGGATCCACTAAAAGCAGTGCTTGTAGTTTGTGGATCCCCCAGAAAGAAAAAAATATATAAATATTTCAAATTTTGCCTACGAAGACTTAGAACACACAAGACAATATTACAAAACAACATACTTCCACATGTGTATCAGATAAATGTACTGTCAGTGCATAAATGAATACTGGTATTTGTCTCGATGGGTTTAACAATTTGGGAACAAACGGCCTCTGTCTGCTCATGCGCAGATAGTATTTTACGAACTGCCTCATTGAAAGGAAAACTTCTAAATGCACAGAACAAAGAGTGTTTCACCAACCTCCTTCATTAGTCCTGACATCGATGGTATTCGTGAACGCTCCCACTCCAGCGCCGTTGTAGGCAGCGACCTGGATCTCGTAGATCTTCCACGTGATGAGGCCGGTGATCTCGTATGACGTCTGACGGTAGTTGGTGATGTTGGTAAACTGGAAAGCGGTGTTGTAGCCGTCCATACGCCACTGAACGATGTAGCCTAGGAGGGGACCGTTCCAACTGTCATAGGGAGGCTCCTGGGGAGGGAGGGGGGGGGGGGGGATAGAAGAGGGCAACTTATTGTAGGTATTTTCAAAGTAGAGTTCATGTAAATCTCAAGAATATGATATACTGTACAAGGAAGGAGGTTAATCCAATTATCAGTATGTTGGAGAGCTATCAAAATTTACTGTTTCAAGAAGTAATTAGATCACATCAAAAAATTTCTAATTTTTTACTCTTAAGCTTCCTTTGGGTATAACTTGACCACATCATGCCTTGATTTTGTTTTGCCATTGTGGCAAAATGTATACCTATATCATGAAAGGAAGAAAAACTTTCTAGTTGAGCTTTTTCACAACACTTAACAAATTCATACTCTTTTCTAAAGACCCAAGATATTTTTCTTCTTCTTATTTCATAATCTTCATATTCAACTGTTGTGGCATTCTAATATTTTAATGATTTGTTTTACCTGACTGCTATTTTACCTAACTGCTCGGAAACCGACAGCTAAAAGTCCCCTCAAAGAGACTTGGTAATGAGGATCAAGGCCTTACCAAAGGGCAATATCGCATCGACCTGGTTTCTAACCCGAGATCTGTCGGTTACAAGACCATTGCTTTACCACTGAACCATCACATCTCCTCGAATGCATTATTACAGAAGCAATAAATCAACAATAACTTTCATGATTGGTATTCATTTCATAGATAACTTTCTATCTTACCCCAAACTCCACCATGATACTGGAAGTGGATGTAGCACTGGCCCTCAGAGACTGGGGAGGTAGATCAGGTGCTGTCAGATGGAAGGAGAGGAGAAGATAAGCAGGAGAGTACAATGGAATTATGTCCTGTAAGCATCAAACAGGTGTACATGTACCTTACTCTAAACTCAGTAAAAGTGTTCAATGATACATAAAAGGCATCTTCATCAGTTCATACTTGGTTTTGAATAACGTTGTATCTCTTAATTCATGTGTCTTTGAAAATATCAAATTTAAAGTCTTACGTCATTCATTGTGAACCTTTCAGGATATCAAGGATAATACAACAGATGTTCCCAACATTTTTTTGTTCAGAAAAGATGATTTCCTAAACTTTTCATGAGTATTCTGCACTGTAATACCCCCAAAATAGTGTTCTTTTGAAGAGATTTTAGGAGAAAAAATGATAATAACATCATAGATTAGATACTTGAAAAAAGAGAAAGAGATGTTATGATAGAGTAATTGATAAGCATTTTATCAGTGTTTTGGGAGACTTACGTTCCTCTGGAAGATGAACTACATTGCTAGCTTCGCTCTTTTCACTCATCCCGATGGCATTCTGTGCCCTGAGTCTGTACTGGTATCTTCTTGATGGTCTGACACCGGTCACAAGGAACTGTGTCAGCAAAGGGTTGATGGTTGCCTCCACCTCGGTAAAAGCGGAATCTAGAGAGATGAATCAATGGGTGAGAATGATTAGATTCAGATAGAGGGATGAGGGTGGAGAGGAGGAGAGGAGGGAGGAGGAGGAGGGGGAGGGGGAGACAAAGACAGAGAGAATGACAGATTGACAAACAGACAGAAGAAATATATTGATATTTATAATAATAATAATACATTTATAGAGCGCAGAAAGTATCAAACATTAAGTATATATTCTACTGTGCTACAAGAGCTCCTGATATGCTTAGAGTTACAGTTAATTGAAAAGATGTGCTTTCAGTTCTGATTTAAAGATATTTAAAGATGGTGACCAATATAATTACCAACATAAACATCAGCATCATCATCACCACTATCATCATTATCATCATCATCATCATCATCATCATCATCATCATCATCATCACCATCTTCATCATCATCATCATCATCATCACCATCATCATCATCATCACCATCACCATCACCATCACCATCACCACCACCACCACCACCCCCACCACCCCCACCACCAACACCATCATCACAAAGAGGTACTTACCATCCTCCTTCTGTTCCAAGATGTACCTGATGAGGGCTGAGTTACCATCAAAGACGGGTAACCAAGAAACGATGATGGTCCTGTCCTGGTCTTGGCTCTTGGTTGCGGTCACTCCCTGGGGCTGATATGGTACCTCTGTCAAACAAAATTACAGATCCAAAGCAAGTGTAAGATTTAATGTGTACAGACTTCTCCATTCCTTCCTTCCATTATCATGAAATTTCCTTCTTCTTCACATAATTATTGACCTCAAAGTTGGAGGAATATTAATCTTCCTATCTTGTATATGTCCTCTTTTAAAAAAAGAAGGATTTGTCTTCAATTTTCTTTCCATTACTATCAAATGTCTTTGGATCTTATCTCTTTATTTCATTTCCTATCTTATTTCTTTCAATTTTCTGCAAACTGGTCTAATATTCTAATTTACATTCATTCTTTCATTTCTTTTCTTTTTTATTTGTCTTTTCTTACATTTTCCATCATACTGTTCTAGTACATCTCCATCTACAAGCAATTATCCTTTAATCTTTCAATCCATCTTCACTTTGCTGCGTCTCTTTTCATCTCCCATTTCCTCGTCAAGTCCTTCAACTTCTTCTCTACCCATCATCAAGATCGAAATTCAAGATTCAAGATAATTTATCATCTGATTTAAAAAATACAAAAATTTGTCCTCCACTGGCGAGTGACATAAATATACAAGCAACATAAACATTATAGACATTCAAGGATACAAAGTTTTAAACTGGCATTAAAAATTGAATCTTCACATCATCATACTCACGTAGGACTGTCAGGTTGGCGCTACCGAGGTCATCCCCAGCGATGGACGTAACCTTGCAGACGTACAGCCCCATGTCATTTGCATCGGTCGAGAGAATGACCAGGGAGCCGGACTCCTGAATGATGAACCTTCCGTCGGGTATAATCACGCCACCGTCCTGCATCCAGGTGACCGTCGGAGTGACCCTAGAGTCGTGCTGGACCACGCAGTTCAGGGTGGTGGTCTCGCCCAGGATGGTCTGGACGTTGGTCGGCTTCTGGGAGATTAAGGTTCTTTCTGTTGATAAGAAAAAAAGGAGCGCATAAATAAATGAACTAAAAAGTTTTCAGGTTAATTAATAATAATCATAGGCATTTCTATAGCACCATCTATCTAGAAATTCTATTCCGAGGCGCATTAATTATTGTCCCAGCTTTAGCCTAGCTGATCTACATTTGCCACACTCAACCCAGGTGAGGTAAATGGGTACCTGGCAGGAATTAATTCCTTGAAATGCTCGAGCGCCGTAATGGCAGCCGTGCTAAAGCTAGGGTAATAATCAAGAGCGCTAGGAGTGTCAAGTCTGACAGACATGAGCGCTACACAAGAACCTACTATTATTATTATTATCATTTGTGGAGGGTAGTGATACATGTAACTAGTATAAATTGTTTGCAGAATTCTGAAATGTTTCAACGCTAAATAAACAAGGGGGGAGGGGCACTTACGGTAGACAATGAGGGAGGCGGAAGCGTTGGCTGTATTCAAGGTGTTGGTGGCGATGCAGGTGTACTCGCCGGAATCCTCCATGACCGCCTGCTGCAGGAGGAGGTTTCCGAAGGTCTGGAGGACATAGCGGTCATTGAGACGGAAGCTTGCGCTCAGGACTAGTTGACCATCTACAGAATTCAAACAAGAACAAACAAAATAACATTTTGAAGGCTAGTCATATAATAATGAATACATTATCTGTTAAAATTCTGGAGAGAGATTTGTGTATTTTGTTTTGTATAGTGCCTTGAGTAATTTATTAGATAAGTGCACTTTATAAGTATGTATTATTATTAAGCTTTCAAATAAATCTCACTTCATTTTCTTTTGTATGTAATTTTAACTGAAAAGAGCCTTGTGGCAGACCAGATTTTTGTATTTCCTCCATTTGCTTCATAACTTCATTGCATCTCTGTAGTGTATACTCTTATCTTTTTATTTTTGTTGAATAGTTTTTGTTTGCTAAACAGGCTCCTCTGTTTAAAATATGTTAAATTTCTTCATGAATATATTAACATTTTTGGCCTCCTTATCTCCTGTTGATGTTGTTGGCAAGATTTTTCCTTGATATTTGGGCATGTCCAAGTGCTAGTAGGGCTATCACAGAAAAATTATTATCAAGTAAACTTCAATCTTTGATATGATTTATAATTGTATGAATGTGACATTGTGTAGGATTTGCTGCTTTATAAAAGTTGTGTTACAGGTATAGGAACAGCAATTGTAAATGAATTCCATATGCCACATCTCCCTTTTGGTATTGACTGAACTTTTTTTTCTAAATACTAATTTGAATCAATCTCTCTACATGAATATCTAAAGCAGGAAGGAAGAAGAATGTTTGGTCAGAGGGAACTGGAGTCACTGAACAATTTGTTTTCCTTCTTCATGCTGGTACATGTACATCTTCTAAAAAGCGTTGTAAAACATGGTTTTCAAGGACAATATCGTATCTTATTCTATGCACATGCAACTCCTAAATATACCTACAACTGTATATAAAACCACTACATGTTTGTTTGTTATTGTGCATTGTATATGTCAATGTACATGAAGGTTTTTGTTTCTTCAAAAAAAAAAAAAAAAAGTAACGCAGAATCAAGGACATTACAATATTTGTGGTTTTCTATATCCTTTGTTCCTATTATATTTGACTGATTATTACTGATTTACATCTTAAAAGTTACATTATTTTGAAGATCAACTCCTTCATGAATAAATATAGTATAATGGCTGTACTATCCTCAAAATATTGAAGGTACATATAAATGTACATAGGTGCTTTATTAGGAATTGTTGTGAAAAGTAATACAAATTTCCTAAATTCCCATAAAATTGTACATCTTGTTTGTGTGTAAAAGTAGGGCATCAAGCATTTTTTTCTTGCAGCGATCATTTAAACAAAAGTTTCCTCCTTGTACACGTATGATTGGATAAATGTTGATTGCTGATTAAGAATAAATCCATGAAAAAAAATATCTATATTGTTCCCACTTTCAATGACAAACATGTAGCTGTCAGCTGATTCAGCCTCATTACCTTGTTTTAGTAACAAGAGTAGTTAAAGTGCTAATAGGTCAATGTTTATAGGCAAAGAGCGTATCATCTTTCGTCCAAACCATGCATCACAACACGTGGCATGGTGATACATAACTGTAATGCTTTAAAGGTACATTAGCTTAATACACACTCAAGATAGTCCGTTAAATTAGATATGCAGACTGTACTGTATGATGTACAATGTTGGCCATGAAGTGTTGGCATTGTTGTAAAAGTTTAAGATGCAAATCATTCATGATAGCTCATAGTAAAGAAACACGTTTTGGTCCATTGAATATCTGTTTGGATTTGCTCATGTACAAAAAAGAGAGAGATTTCCTCACATTGAATTTCTAGAACATGTACATGAACATACACATCATTGTTTTGTTTTTGTTTTTGCTTCTGTTTATGCTCTTGTTTTCATTTGTGTTAAAGTTTCTAAAAACAAAGCCCTTTTTAATATTTTCCACCATATTTTGCACATATTTCACCTACATTTGTACATGATACTTGATATAATAGTACTGTAATTGTAGCCATTCTTTTGCAATATTTCTCGGGAAGAATAAAATCCATTTAAAATCCCATCATTCACTGACTATCAATCTAAAGTATAGAATATAGCATCAAAATATATCCTGTTTTGGACAATATTTACCCTTTAAGCTATCATTTTGGGCATACTTGTCAACCGTTATCTAAAAAAGAACTCGTTGTCTATAAAAGTACTCACACATGTAATACTATCTCTCAGTGCAGGTACCATATTATGATCAAAGTACTGGGAAGCTTTGGTTGACAAAGAATACTATACTGCAAGGGTGAACTGCAGAACAATTTATATACGTGTATGTAATAATATTTAAATCGAAGGTATGACATTGGATTTATAATAGTTTATATTAGTAGGAATGAGAAAAAGTAAGACAAAAATCAGGACAGAGTAACAATCACTCCTCAACTCAAAACAGACAACTATTTGGAATGGAAAGAACCAGATATTTTATCTGAAAGTTATTCAATTGGTTTTTATAGCACAGTTACTATCCATCGCTTCCCTTTTATCAAGATCTGTCATAATTGGGAGCATAACGTCTCCATAAACATCCCTTCCATCAATACACGTGCATTGAACTGTGTACAAATGTATACTTTTTGTATGATGGTTTCTGTAAAGTTCTTTTTCTCTGGTACATATGACAATGTGTCCCCATATGGTATGCCCCATTTGACATTATTTTCTCTTATATTAGAATGTCTAGAAATGACCGATAACTAATTGTAATATCTCTTATATCTAATATGATCCCCCCTTAATACAGTAGCCCTACGAATGCATGCATGTTGTGATCTTCTCCTATCTATATGCATACCTTTCTCCCAATGTATTGTGGGATGTGGAGCGCCCTCTGCTGCACACTCTAGGTAGGTCGTCTCTCCTTCCAAGATGGTGGTGTCATTGGGAGCCAGGGTGATCTCAGGAGCAATTTCTGAAAAGGCAAAAATTAGAGATGATATCATATAGTGCTGTAGTCAAACGTTTAACCGTCCGGTATCCGACCGCCCATGGCGGATTCCGTTTGCAATTGGACGGTTTCGTTTACCCGTTTTTTATTTATTTATTTATTTATTTTTTTTATAATTTTTTTTTTTTTTTTTTTTTTTTTTTTTTATTATTTTTTTTTTTTTTAAGTTTCAATTTATGCCCCTCCACCTGGCACTATGCCTGGCAATGTCTCCCAGGTCAGTAATCGGTGTGATGACTTACCACTTGGAAACTAGAACAACACTCCAATTTGTCTGTCATCTTGGTTTGAAAGTAATGTTTGTAATAGATCTCAATATATATTCATCCAAGTTTAACACATGGTGTACCACAAGGTTCTATCCTAGGTCCTCTACTATTTTTAAATTTACTTTAATGATCTTACACATTATTCTAAAACGACATTGTTACTATTATTTGTGACTAGTTCACAAGCACAAATCGGCGCCTTCAGTTAAATTACCTTCCAGCTTTTTCACACGGACAACAACAAAAAAAAAAAAAAAAAAAAAGTTTTTTTTTTTTTTTTTTTTTTTTTTTAAATAAATCGTTTAACCGAAAACCGTCCGGTTTTGACAGGCGGTTAAACGGAATTGGAGATATCCGTGATGTTACAGCACTAATATCATAATATAAACCACATTTCAACCATTGTCACTATGCTTAACAATATCATCATCATTTTCATCATCAAAACCATACTCCTCCTTCCTTCCCTCTCCCTCCTCCTCTTCCTTCCCTCTCACTCCTCCCCCTTCTGTTCCTCCTTCTTTTCTCACCATCCTCCTCCTTCTTCTGGGGGGGGGGGGGGGGGGTGGTGTTTCACAAAACTTGTCATCAGTGACAAATGACAGTTTTTGGTATAAGTTACTGAAATCCTTGCTTCTGATTGGTTATCAAAAGATTTGTCACTGATTTTTGTCATTTGTCAGTGAAAAAAGGCTTTGTGAAACGGGTGCCTGACCATCATCATAATGATCCTCACTTCCTGCTCTTCCTCCACATTTCTCTATCATCATTATCACCATCATCATTACTATCTCTACTATGGAAAATTAATAAGCCATATTTGACACATGTCAGCACTCTCCCGGGCAAGGATGGAAAATCAAAGTTCTTACCTTGCACTTGTAGCCAAGTGTCCACTATCTGTTCTCCCACATCATTGATGGCCTGGCACTGGAACATACCGCTGTCGGCCTTCTCAATGTTGCTCAGTTTCAAGCTACCGTCATCCTCCATCTGAAAACAACATTAAATTTTGCATGACACATGATTCAGGGCCAGACACAAACAGAAGAGTAGTTTTCATCACAAAATAAGGGAAACGTGCCAATTAATTCCTCATGAGCCCGATGCAACAACATGAAATCCTTTTAAAGTGGACAACTTGACATCCCCAATTCAAGTCTAATGGAAGGAAAGCTACCACATCTATTTATTTTGTTTAATATATAAATTCGAGCAGGAAAATGTGATATTTAAAGCATACATCACAAAGAAAAAATACCACTCTCATGGTTTTAAGCTAATGTTCTATCTTTATACTGGCCAAAAATTATGTCTTGCTAAACACACATATAGAAGTAAACATATCATGTTCCATCCAATCTTTTTTGTCTGGTAAAACCTTTATTATTTTGTGTGTCATATTTCAAAGCAGGGATCCTATCAAGCATCAATTTCCCATATTTGGGCTGAGAGAGACAACTGTAAAACATACCTTGTCTTAGGGACAATTGCACTATCAAAGAATTCAAGCTGTCAACTTTTCAATTGACAGTTGAGTGTCCAAGGAACCAATATACTATCTACAATGTTTCCATATGTCTTGTTCGATTAAACGAAACCATAATATAAATGATTTGCATAAACAGACTTACTCTGAAGCGGCTGTTACCCATGGTTGTGATGTCAGCAGCATTACGATACCACTTGATCTGAGGGGCGGGTACTCCTGTGGCCATGCAAGGGAGAGTGATGGAGCTGCCTGCAGCCTCCTGGATTATCCTCTCCAATGGACTAGTAATTGTTGGGGCAACTGAAGATTAAAGATAGGGAAGGGGGGGGGGGGAGAGAGAAAAAAAGCAGTATGTTAGGAACGAATAGTAAAGATCGTTTTTGTTCAAAGACAGAGATCTTAATGAGAACATACTCATCAACACTGCTCAAATCTATAATGACTTTAAGATGAGTTCTACAAATCAATCTATTACTATGTTCTTTTTTTTAAATATCACTACTACTATTAATAAATACATATACTTTCTACAGCTCTTATTAGTTTCTGAATCATAATCACAAATTCTATAGTTTTCATGAGTTCCATGAGTACAACAAATTGTTGGTACATATTTTTTAATTTCTTTTTGTAAGATAAAGAATTAAAAATGCAAGCTTCTAATCAAAGTGTAGACTAGAGTCTCTGACATGAGAGGGGGAAAAAATCCTCCATCAGCTTGGAAACAAGGCCTGATGTTGCATGACAAGCACGCCCCAGAGCTAAAACTATTATTGGTCGCTGGAGATATGGATATTTGTCGTCATTGCGGCATCCAAAACAACATTGTTGATCATATGAGGGGAAGGGGATGTATGAAGGGAAGGGATAGAGCAATCGTGACGTACACCAAACTGCACCCCGGCCCTAGACAAGGCGAGAGAGAGGGGGAAATAGTAAGATGCCTAGAAGAAAGCCGATCTGTAAATCTGTCAATGCCCAATTTAACATGATTAATCACTTGGTGCTCATGTGTCCTCAAATACTTTTGAAGTTCATCTCAGAGAGGTGGAGAGGAAGAAAGGGGGAGGGGAGAGAGAGAGAGAGAGAGAGAGAGAGAGAGAGAGAGAGAGAATGGAAAGGTAGACGAAGAAGAAGGGGAAGGGAAAGGGAGAGAAGAATAGATACAAAAAAGGGAGGAAAGAAGAAGGGAGGGAGACCAAGGAGGGAGAAAGGGGTAAGGGGAGAAGGAGAAAAGGAGAGAAAATAAAAGCAAATGCAGGGAGATATGCAAAACTGAAAGAGAGGGAAAGAGAGAGGGGGGGGGGAGAGATAGGGTTATATATATATATATAGAGAGAGAGAGAGAGAGAGAGAGAGAGAGAGAGAGGGGGGGAATAGGGGATATATATTTAGAGGGAGAGAGAGAGAGAGAGAGAGAGAGAGAGAGAGGAAAATATATAGAGGGGGGTGGGGTAGAGAGATCAAAACAAAGACAAAGAAAAGGGGACAAATATCAAAAGAATATCACAGAGATAAAAGAGAAACGGAGTGACAACACAAAGAGAGACAGAGTGAGAAAAAAAGAGACAGGGATGGAGAGAGTAAAATCCAAAGAGACATCAAAGGAGAAACACATGCAGGGAGACAAACTGCCTCATCAATACAATGTTGATACTGCATCATGAAATGTTATTAAAACTGCAGGAAGAACAGGCTTTATTTTTCTTGCTATTCAAGATAAAGTAATTAATAATGTAATTCATCATTTCCTATAATATATCAGGTGAGTTTGACTTTGGGCAGAGGTATATGTATTCCGTTCATACATGGGACAATTTGCTACATAAAGAAGGTTTGGTATTCTCAAGTGATCTGTAGTGCTTTATGAATTCCAATACTTCAACATTACTTCTAAAATATGTCTTTCTTGTACCACGATGATGAAAATACAGAACCTAGGGTGAATTTTCAATCCTGCAATCACGTTCATTGGGGATATAAGCTCAATTCATGTATCAATTAACGGGATCACGTACAATTAAAGAAGAAGTTGAGTTCTGGTCATGCGATTTCATTGTGAAAGAAACGGTGTGGAACCGACCAGAAAAGGTTGATCATCTAGCATATAAGAATTTGTGTGTATTGCAAGGTTCTGGAATCATCAAAATGATAAGAAATTTGGCCAAGTCTTGGTAAAGTTAAAAACACTGTACACAGAAAGATGTATATGGGACTACACGAACACATGGCGTAAAAAGCCGGCCCCCCGATTTTTACGATGTTACATGCATATTTAGAATATGAAGGCATTTGAAGAGCCATGCTTTTCAGGGAACATGTCTTTTCTGATGTTCTTCCACACTTGCATTATAAGAATGAGTAACGCTCTCAAATTATTTTCACCTCTTCCCAGAACTCAACCTTCTCTTTAAGCATTGTTTGATAACATCAGTCTGCTTACAGTCTGCATCAAACGATATCAAATGAGTTTTGCTTCAGAAAATAAACTGATATTATCTTTGACTATAATGTCATTATAAGTTAGATGTCTTTTACAAGTTGACATAGTAAAACAGATAACAAAACTCACTAAGCTAAAGGCATGATAGACTTTTTCCTAAGTGCAAAATAAGAGTCTGATCGATTCTCTTTTGCTCAACAAATGCTTTTACCTCAGATAATGTCTTCATAGTATCATATGCACCAACAAGCATCAAATTGCTAAATACAAAGAGGCTGTGATTCTCTTTGCTATCCACAATCAGATAAGCTCATGTAACGTAAGTCAAGCAGATAAGCCTTTGAGCTACAAAATTCATTGCTACCGAGTAAGGCGAGTAACATTGTATTCAGAGCCGATTTACCATCTTTTTGCATGTTTCAAGAGAGTAAAATAACTAGATATATGAACAATACCTGTACTACAAAATCGAGGAAGAGTTTTGCAGAGAATTATAATCTTTCACATGCTGAATTTGTTCCTTTTGTTTTATTACAGAGAGAAGTAAAATTCAATTTTGCAACATACATAATTACAGAGTACACCTAAACTTTAATCAAAATTCAATTTTTCCACTTGGATGAGTGGTATTAAAAAGGATTGTATCTATCATTTGAATTCTGAAATATTTTTCCTGTTTGGTATTCTCCTGCGGTCCTGCCCCATTTCATATCACGATTGCATTACAAGAGGCCATTACCAATGATGGCTCCACAATAAGCGTGCATACATACTATCTTTCAAATGTCATTAAGCCATGGAATACTTTACGAGAGGCTCTTTCCCATAGCCAACCTCTTTTCTAATTCCGTCACCCTGCTCCTCCTCCTTCTTTTTATTCTCCTTCTTTCTTTTCCAGCATATTCTTCCATTTCTGCTTTGACTTCTTTAAAAAAAAATTCTTTACCTAGGTCACACTCATAGTCCTACTATAATTATATAATATAATCTTGATATAATCTTTTCTGTCACCCTCTAGCTTCCTCCTCTTCATCATTCAATTCTCCTTCTTTCTTTTCTAGTATATTCTCCCATTTCTGCTTTGACTTCTTTAAAAAATATTCTTTACCTACATGTAGGTCACACTCATAGTTACTAGTCCTACTATAATTATCCGTCACTTGTAATGACCTGATACTCGATCCCTGTGTGTTTCTTTCATAATATAATAAAGTAATATTCTCACTTTTAATGATTCATTAGATCTGACCTATCACATTTCCAAATATATAGAATATAGGTTCTTTACATTGTTCATTTCATACTCCCCGAGATCATCATTAGTTCTTCTTACTCCTTTTCACCACAGCATTTTTCAAAAGATATATCATTCTTTTGTGAAGGTTTATAGTTGAATAATTTTTTTTCCAAGGCTTTTGAATTTGTGTACTGAAGCTGCATTAATACTTTTACAAAGGAACATGAATTGAAGAATTGTGGACTTTATACATGAATTAGTTGAAACGTATCCAACTCAAATATTAATGTCAGCGGGAAACCATATCCCTCAATATATTTCAGAATAGGAGCTACATGAATACTCTTGAAGTGAACTTTGAGAGTTCTGGTAAAGGAGAAAATATAAGTTGTCAGCTTTCTCATTCTCCTTCATGTCGGGTTGTTTTGTAGAATATCAAAGAAGACATATTCCCTGAAAATGATTGCTCTGCTAATAATATCCTTGTATTTTTTCATATGAATAGAAATAGTAATGTTTGGACCAAACTTTCAAACTGCATACAATGTGTAGTAGCATTTTAAGAAATTTCTCTATGCAGTACTTAATTGTGACTTTCAGCATGATTGAATCAATTTTCTATCACATTGATGATTCTAAAACCTCAAACTGAATTAACACCAATTCATATGTGGTAAATAATAAACCTTTCTTAGTTGCTTTAGGAGAGTTTCTTTCAAGACCAGAACTCAACTTTATCTTTAACATCCCACTTAGTTAGGAGCTTTGACAATGGGAACGAAGCTTCATACTCAGACAAATGTACGAGTGAAATTGCTCCCGTAATACTAGAATGGCATTATAGAATGGCACGGGGGCTAAGACGATGACACAGATCATCATCCCCGGTGTCCCGTTAGGGGACGGTTGTCGAGCAACATGGTACAAGGAGGGAGACGAGGGAGACACATGAGGCCCGTCTCCATCAGCTTGAGATTCCCAAATAGCCTTCTATTTCTGATTTGAGAAATAATCCTGAAGTTACAAATAGCATCTTCATCAGCTCGAGACTTGACCTCAAAACTTGAAACTCAAGCTTACCGGTAATTGAGAAATAAGCTTGAGAAATTTTGCTCAGCATTTGCGCATAGGGCCAGCCTTCGGGCTGGTGAAGAGGTACTGGACAAATAGCGGGATACTTTGCAAACTAGCCCAAGATATCTTGGGATGATTATCTCGACCACATATCCCGCTAATTGCAACTTCAGGCTGATGAAGATGCAAATTAACTGGATAAGTTGCGATCGGGATAGTTCAAATAGCAAGATATTTTTGCAATCTCGAGCTGATGAGGACAGGTCTATCAATGCCTCCCTCTATAATCACGGAGGACGCAGAGGCAAGGATGGAGGATGCCTTGGAAAGGATGGTAGAGTCGGGTAAACCCATATATGGGGAGAGAACCCATTTCTGAATGAAAAAGGGTGGTTTTAATCATATCATGTGATATGCATTAGCGAGATAACACAATATAAGGTATCTCGGCAGATAGGGTATCAAAGTGGAGATTTGGAACAGATGACAGAACGAAACAGAGACTGGTATACTATCCCATCTCCATTCGAGTGCTGTATTCGAAAG